GCCTACTGTGTCACTACAGCATGTGGACTGTATGTAAGTGATGTCAATGAACAGACTCTCAGAGCTTCAGTATTTTCTAAAATCTGCTGTTCTTGAACTTTTAAACATTAACCAGATGTGTGTTTAACTGATGGATGTCTGCTGGACATTGATTTTTTTCCTGCCCTGCGCCTCTACATTCAGTTCAATTTAGTCAAACTAAGTTGGTTAGTTCTGCTGGATTCAAAAACGTTTTTAGAATGGTTTTTGTCTTCAAGGGAGAAACAAACAGACAGTCTATCCAGACAGCACAACACTACACAGACCAAAACTGTGCAGCTTTTGTGCAACATGCTACATTTCAAACATGTGCACCAGAGAACTGTTGTTAGAAAAAATCAGCGCATTATGTTTAGGATTTTGTCTCTAAATGATCTCATAAGTCATATGCAGCACTTTTTTTGTTTTTTTTTTAGAAAGAAGAAGTAGTGAGTGTGATGGAGAAAGAGAGTCCCGTGGTTTCTCTCTATTTTGGCTTCATTTCTAAAGAAATATCAAAAATGGTGACATTTGCTGTGCAAGAAGTTGCTGATGTTGGCACTTCTTCTGTTGGCACGAATGAAGTGTGCGTTTGAATGCCGGCTGAGCAAATGCAGAAGCACACAAACACGTGTTTCCACCACGTCAGAGGACATAACGTTGAATTACTTTATCTTCTACCTTAAACTAAACATTAAACCAAGTCACTGAAGTGTTGAGGAGTAATTTGTGTTATTGGAATGTGCATGTGAAATCAACATGAGTACCACAAGAACACAAACACACACATTTGTACTTTTGTATGAGGAGTCTTAATGACTTGATGCATTCTTTAGCCTCTAACCCCTTCAGCAAACATTACAACTACATGAGTATCCTGCACCTGATATCCAATGCTCGGTCACTAACCAGGCAAGCTGTAAATCTAAAGATCCTCAAGGACTCCCAAAGGCTCCAGAGTCACTTGTGTAAAGCACAATAAAAACTGAAACGACAAGGTGGGTCCTGTTTATTGCCTGATTTGTATTAAAGAGCATTCTTGTGTCAAAATACAACTTTAAAGGAATCGCCCTGTTTGCTTTGTTGCAGAGAAGTTAGAGGAGACCACTGACAACATCTCAGTGTAGGAGGTATTTATCCATAAGTATCAAGAGGTTAGCTTAGCTTAGCACAAAAACAGCTATTTACCACATTACAGGGGGGACTCCAGGATGTCACTGCTTCTGGTCAACAGCAGATGTTTTTTTTACACATCTGGTTTGCACAGATTGAAGAAATAATATATAACATCTTAATTAAGAAAAAAGGAAAAAAAAAATTCTGGCAGAACCTGGTTGTCTGTTTCTAGTCCTTATGCTAAGCTAAGCTAACCAGCTGCTACTCAAGTAACATATTCACTAGAGAGTGCTTCTGTCTTCTGTGCCAGAACATCAAATAAAGCCAAACTGGTGAACATGTCATACCATGTGAGGCGAGGGAAGTAAAATATACTGCACATTTGAGCAAACAATCTCCCTACTAGGTCAAGTGACACTAATTAATATCAATGCCATGTTTTAATATTCATTTATAATCATGAAGGAGTGCGATTTACTAAGTAAATTAATTTAACTCAACCTTTAATACCAAAAAGTCACACTGTTTGAGTGACGTATTGGAACTAGTATGGTGATCGCTTCACATATAAACACAGCAGCAGCAGCAGAGAATCAAATTATTGCAAGATATACTTTTGTAAGTTGGTTTAAAAGTTGAGCTTAGCATATAGGTTTTAATTTAAGAATCAGTAACCCAGTGCAGCACAATGGCTTGTATGTTTGTGAAAAATTATAGATTTTTTCATTTGAACTCTAATGGCTGTGGAAGTCATGTGTTTCAGGACCTTTGCTGAACTTTAAGTTAGTATCTTGAGGCCACACATACACACACATGTTGGGATGTGATGCCTCCGTTAACACATGCTCACTAGTTTTAGGAAGTGCTTACCAGCTCCTTTGCATGTTCCAGAGGATATGATGAAAATACAGCTGAGTCTTGTGATAAGAGGATGATAGTGGGTGATTACACACTCTTGGATTATTTTAATGGTGTTATAGTAAAACTTCCAGCAGTGATTTGCATCTCTGCCCTCAGCTACTCTCAGCCTCTTCTTCAACCTTCTTCAGCTGCTGGATCCCACTGATGCAAAACGCCAAAGTCAACGAGCCGCGAGCATTACACGAAGTATCTGAGCCTACTAATGAAGATTATGTAACCCTTAGTCCTCTGATCACTCATCTGCCGTAGCAACAGTGACATAGCAACAACCTGTTAAATGCAAATTGGTACATCGTGATGTAGAAGAGTGAATCATTTGCTTCATTTTGTAGTAAAGTCACTGTGGCCATTTAGCCTTCATCTTTGTTAATTAAATGAAACTCAACGTAATAGAATCCCTCAAAAGAGCCATTATCTTAGCAGTCAAATTGACAATCAGTATTAGTGTCGTCTACTTATCTGATTTCTTTGACCATGAAAGACATTGATGAAATGATTTAAAGAATAGTCAGACATTTGAGTAAATACTTTGAAAGATGCCCTGTATGGTTAAAAAAAAAACTATATAATTGAATTTATGAATAGGAACCAATAACATTTTTAGAATGTATCAATAATCTAAGTCTGTCCAGACTTCATTAGAAAATTTGGAGTTTACATCCTTTCCATATTGGTGTAGAAGCCGTTGTATAAAGACGTTTATTATAGAGATATTATTGTGAAACTATTGTGTACAAGATTTTAATGTCTTGTATGTAATAAACATGTAATAAACTCTAGCTTTAATGTTGTGTTTGAGATGTGTATATTACAAAGTAATTCTTGCTTGCAGTTACTGAATGTTAAACCTAACAAGCCTGATCACACTCTATCTTGTGATGCGGTTTATTTAAGAAATACTCCAGTCAACTCGTGTTGCACTCCACATTGGTTTTGCAATTTGTGAGAGATGGATCTAAAAATGAATTATAATGTTTGAAGCAGCAGTGGCCAAGATATGGAGGGTTTTAATCCCTAGTGCTTGTCAAGCTCCATATTCATGGGATCCTATATTTCCCATAATGCAATCTGCCAACATCTATTGTTAGACCTACCTGTTACTGCAAATACCTGTCAATGTTTTTCCAATTCCGCATCCCTAATTCATAAAACAAGTTGTGCTGCTGGCGTATGCACACCTTTGTAAACTAATGATAAAACAGGTTGTCAAAGTTGGAGTCTGTGAGTCCACAGAAAGATTGTTGATATTCAGTTAGTTAGTGTATTTAAATAGTTTCCATGTGCCAGATTTATCGTCTCTCTTGCATGACCATGAATGTGCACAAACATGCTGGAGTAATATGGAGATGATCAGTTTTGATCACTTTGTTTCACATATACAGAGCCAGAGCAGTGTACAAAGAGGAAGCTCGACTGAAACAGAAGACCCTTCCAGAAAAGTTTCCTTACAATCCCTGACAATTCAGTCAGTATATTTTATTTGTAAAACTCCACACAGTAAATTGAGAGTCATTTTAAGCTACTATGTTGTTACTGTGATGCTGTAGTCATTTTGTGGTAGTCCACCTTTCTAAACACAACAGGTTCATTTATAAAATTGAAAACATTTGCACACTCCACAGAGCTACCAAGAAAAGGTACTTTGTCAGACAGTTGCACACGCTGCAACCACTGCACTAGTTTCCACTGCGTTGACCTCATTTCCCCTGCAGCCATCGCAATAATGTGAACATCTATGTATAGTAGCTGTTGGAATAATTCTGTGTTATGATCCAATGATCTTTGTGAAAAGAATGAGAATGCTGTAAATGTCCATTGCCTCTATTTCACCTTGTGAGTGTGAGATAAGGACAAGACGTCCTCAGCGGGTGGTCAAGACACCATGCCTGAACACACACATTTGCGGGAGGTTGTCTTCTGTTTTCTGTATATTAGAACCAATGCTTCATGCTTCTAGTTAGTCACTTGTTCAGACTCTGTGCTGGACATGTTGCTCCTTGCTGCAAGTAAAACTTTGCTTTGACTTAAGAGATGACTCTGTGTATTGATTTGGAGCAGTTAGGACTCCACTGAAGAATTTTCCTAACAGTAGCTGTAACTGTCAGGTGTTTGACTCTTGGGTTCAGTCTTGGTCCTGCTGAGTGACCTGAACTCAAGTGAAAAATCTTTTTTATGTACAAACCAACACAGTAAATCTCAACACAACCAAAAGCTTGATCATTTTTAACTCTTCTTGGAGTCTTTTTTTATATGTAAAAATATGATTTACTTCTCAGGAGATAAAAGCTAAGTGAACGTTTCTCCTCTAAGGAAGCCTACAGCATCGAGTTTAGTCATGAGTTCCCTCAGCATCCTTTTACAGCCTGTCAAAGGGAGTGATACGACTTTTTTTTTTTTTTTTTTTTTTTTTAATCAATGATGCTTTATACATATGGACCAGTTACGACACACGGGGCCAGTGTCCACATGGCACTCGGCAAGTTTTGTTTTGTTTTTTTCTTGTGTGAAGCGCCTGACTTCTCAGCCCAGCCAGCGCTCCCACTATCCACATCTGGAGTACGTCTCACAGCTTCTGTGGCTCTGCAGTCTGGCTCGCTGGGAATGTGCAGGAGTGTTTATCTTCTGCGGTCACCAGCACCAGGGTTTTCTCTGCTGCACAGCAATGAAAGAGTGACTGAAAAAGAGAAAAACACTGGTGAGGATTAGGAGGGAGGGAACTAGCAAGGAAGAGGAAGGAAGAGCTGGTCTATATAAAGCAAGACAGTAAGGAGCTAGAGCAGAGAGGTGTGGTTTGTTAAAGCGTTTTGGGGACATCCTCGGAGGCTGAACTGTGAGTATGAGTTTGTAGTAAGTTGGATAACATTCCAACTTAACGAATGTATTTTGTTTCTGCAGGATTTTTCCCCTTTGTAGGAAGATAAAAGTACATATTTGTGTGTTTTAATTGTTGCTCTCTTTAGGTAAAATGGGAGTACTATGATCAGCAGTAACTCAGTAAGAAAAGAGGAGTGACCTCATAGTTTTGTTTCAAGCAGGATGTTTGGTGTCCAGATGTTTCCAGTTGTAACCCATGTCTAAGATGAGTGATTTAAATGCCTGTATGCAGAACTTGTTTCTTTCTGGTAAAAATGACTCATTGCTGAAGTCTTTTACAGACTCAGCTCGAGCCCTAATCCTTTCTAAAGTATCAAAGAATCACAAACATTTCTCAATTCTTTTTGCTTGTTTTTGTTTGCAGGTGCAGTGACTGAAGCCCCTCCTGTGAATGTGTGTGTCCATGCAGGTGTAAATACAGCGTTTGTGAAGTCTGTGTGAGTGTGTGGGACAATGCCGGCGCTTGAGAAAAGCTTGGTGGCGCGACGCTGCCTCACCTTTGCTACAGGTCTGGTGGAGTGTCTGTGTTTTGCCGGAGCTGTGTTCGGATGGGCCTCCCTTGTCTTTGTACTCAAGGAGGAGGGATACTTCAGCTCTCTGTGCGTCAACGCCACGGGAGTCAACTCAACGCAGGTTTTAGGTCAGTTTCATATCCTTACATTCACTACTTTGAAGTCTGAATGTGATGTTATGCTGTAAAAAGTTTGTCTCTTTAAGCATCTTTATATTTTTTAGTAATTCAAAAAGAATTTTAAATATGAAGATATTATTTCATGTCAGTCTCTTCTGACCCTCACATGTTGAACCACATATTTGCTAACCTTGATTCTCTCATAATCTGGTATTATGTGTCTACAGATTGCAGCAGACAAGATGAACAGTTCTCACTTATCTTCACCATCGCCTCCTTTATGAATAACTTCCTGACGCTGCCCAACGGTTTCCTCTTTGACCGGTTTGGAACTACAGTGGCTCGACTCTTTGGAATGTGAGTCCGATACCTTCATTAATTATGGTTGAATTGTTCAAAAATACTCTTGTCAGAGTGTTACTCAGGAGAGGAGAATGAAATGACAAACACTGATTAGTAAACAACAGTAACAAGAGGTTATTCAGTGGTGTGATTGTAGAGATTGTACAGTCGTCCTCAAATGTATTCATACCCTCCTACTAAAGAAGGAAAAAACAGCTGTCACTGAAAAAGGTTGAAATTCACAAAAGTAATAATAAATTTTAAAAAATTATGAAAATCATGACATTGCTTTTGAATTGTGATTTTACAGAAATATGAAAACAAACAAACAAACAAGCATGATGGGACCCGTACACTAATATTTTGTTGAACAACCCTTTGAGCCAATCAGTGCAATCAAGTGTTTTCTGTAACTCTCAGTCAGACTTCTGCACCTGTTGACAGCTATTCTGATTTTGGCCCACTGCTCATCAGCAAAGGGCTGTAATTTGTCCGGGACAGTTTTTTTTTTTTAATTATTCTTTTCAGCCACAATTCAAAAGCAATGTCTTAGTTCACTGAATTACAAGTTAGCAATTTTATTTATTTATTTATTATTACTTTTTTTTTGTTTCTAGTTATTTAAGTGATGATTGTGAATTTTGTCTTTTCTTTAATGGAAGGGTATGAATACATTTGAGGACGACTGTAGATGCTCTGATTAGTAGTGTGACGTTTTGATCCAGATGACAATTCGATGGGATTTCCTTTGGTGAAGTTTCAGTGCATTATCAAATTCTGCACAGTCAGGTATCACATTTAATTTGATTTAGGGTGGAACTGAATGAATTGGATACTGAGAAGCTGCACAGCAACATTATAAAATTCTTTACGTCAGCAGAACAGATGAAGTGTCAGACAGTAGTCGGGATCTATACCGATTAGCCACAGCATTAAAACCACCTGCGTACTATTGGGCTCCCTCTGTGTCACCAAAACAGCTCTGGTCTATCAGGGCGTGGACTTCCTTGGGTGTCCTGTGCTAACATCAGTATGTTAGCAGCAGATCCTTTGGGTTCTGTCAGTTGTGGGGCGGGGTCTTCATGGATCACGCTTTTTTTCAGCACATCCTGTTCATGTTGGGATTAGGATCTGGAGAGGTTGGAGCCAGGGTCATTGCCTTGGGCTTGTTGTTGTTTTTCCTGAGCAGTTTTTGCAGTAAGGTGGGGCACATTCATCCATATTAATGCTCGAACCTACAGATTCCTGACAGAGATGTTGTTATTTACTTTGACTGTCAGTGGTTTAAATGTTGTGTCTGATCCGTGTAGTGCTTCATTTACACTTAAATGCAATATATTTTTATCAGTTTATATTTTTCAAATTGAAGCAGTTCACTTTCACATCGGTCAGGACCGTGCTGTGTACACACTCAGTGCTGACATATGACTCAGAGAAAATTACTCAACTATCAGACGGCCCTCTTTATCATTTCCTTGTCCGCCTGTGGTGGCTTAGCTAAAGATTCTGTGCAAAGAGACAGTTTGCTGCAATTTCAGTGCATCTCTGGTATTTTCCTCTGAGGGATTCCCAAATCTGTTTGCTTACAATCACAGCTGTTTTCTCACACGGAGTAAGAGAGAGAGAGAAACAGAGAGGGGAGGGACACGCAGAGAGGCGAGAAAGTTGTAGTGCTTAAGTCCATTCATGTGAAACGTTGTTGTGCATGTGGATAAATATACAGTTTTTGCTCCTGTGAAGTGAAAGGTCCAAGTTGAACAGCAAAGCAGAGTGAGAAGGGAAGAAAAAGCACACGAAGAAGGAAACATCTCTTGAGGGATGTCAAGTCAAGTAACTGAATTCAAACAGCAGCAGATGAAAGAAGTGTTTACATAGCACAGCCTGACACCTGAACATGTTTCATGACAAGAGATATGCTGAAAAGAAAACAAAGTCAGATCCATGAAATAGTGAAACTGGAAAGAGCGAGAGAATGATTAAGAAATAGTAAGGTCAGGACCATTAATCAGGGCAAAATGAAGGAATGCAGACAAGAAATATGTTTGTTTTTAGTGCAGATGTTCAGACTCCAGGACTAAGCTGCCCTCCCTGCCGCCTCCAAGTTAATATCTGTAATATAACATAACACCACATACACATACCTGCCCAGTTTGTGGCCCCCAGATCCATCTAAATCCACAATAACAAACTGGCACTAAGACCATCCATATGTTTCCACTAAAAGAAGGCGGTGGTAAAATAAAGAGCAAAGGAATGCAAATAGTTGGACAGGAGGCGGCAAGTGGAGATAAAGATGGATCTCTGCTTAGGACGAGCCAAATGGAACGGCACCAGAAGCACACAAACCTGCGAATGAACTAGTGCTGGCTGTGATATCACTGTGTCATATGTCACATGTTTTATTTCAGCGGCTGCAAATGTGTTAATTTTCATTTATTTTAAGACCAGTTCTGATGTGTTTATGGCATGACCACAGCTGAAAAGCTTCTCTTCTCTCCCACCAGATGCCTTTACACCATAGGTACCTTGATGGTGGCCTTCTCAACTTCAGGTGAAAAACATTTGCCCATTTACATGTTTTGTGCGCTCTGTCTCTCTTACTCTCTGGCCTTTACTGTCTGAATAAATATCAACAGGACACATATGTTATGGCTAATTTATTTCTTATTTCTGTCTTTTTCCATCAGTTCTGCCCAACCTGCTCTTCCCAGCGCTTTCCCTCCTGGCTGTGGGCGGCATCTTATTTCTGATGACCAACATGCAGGTACTGAAGCAGTCGCATTTGTTTTACAGTTGCAATGAAAGATTATTGTCACTCTAAATAAATCCGCAGAATATTTGCTTGATTATTTAGTTGATTGGTCTGTGTGAGCCTGAAAAATGTCCACCACAGTTTCCCAAACCTCAAGTTGACATGTTTAAGTTGCCTCTTTGTTAAGAATCTCTCATCCATGACCCACTTTTTCAGGATCGTACTCTGAGAATTACAGTTGTAGGAGCTTTTTTTGGAAGCTTGGTTTTATGATTTCATTGTTCGGATAATCTAAAACATTCAGGTCTGTCTCCAGACTAAGACAGAGCCTGTCCTCAGATAAAGTTCATGATCATGTGGCAAGAAAAAAAACACAAATCCTTCCTGGGGAAACCATAATGTTTGATGAATTTGAACAGTGTAGAGTCTTAACCACATTCAACTGAATCTAATTTTCACTTTGATTGATAGAAAGGTTGCAACAATATCTAGTCAAAATTTCAAAGACAGCCTTGCACTGACTTCAATACATCCATTTTGATTCTCTCAAATTTCTTTCCTAAAGGTAGGAAACCTGTTTGGCTCACATCGCTCTACCATCATCACTCTTTATAACGGGGCCTTTGACTCCTCCTCAGCACTCTTCCTGGTTATCAAGGTAACCCACATTCACCCTCTACTCGCATTATTAAAATCAACAGGATGTCATGATACAATATGAAGTACTAATGCAGATCTGCATCTTGTCCTCTCCTGTAGCTGCTACATGAGTCTGGCATCTCTCTTCGTGCCTCCTTCCTCTTTCTGTCCGCATGCAGTGGCATTCACCTGCTCAGGACTTTCTTCCTGCTGCCCAGGAAGTTCATTCCCTACCCGCTGCCTGATCGCTACACATACGGGTATGAATCTCCAACAGACCACACTGACACTGCTTTACATGACTGATGGGTACATCAAGTGCAGTGCTTAAAAAAAACAAACAAAAAAAACCTGCCTGCCATAAATTATAAATACAATAACAGATTTACATATTCAAAACTAAAAACAAAATGTCTGGAAAATAAATTTCAATATCAGTAAAATATTTAAATATAGGGATAATCCAGAAAGCTTTCAATACCTAATTGAAATAAATTCCTGTAAGATATAGGTAAAGACAAACATAAGTAAATAAAAATGAGCAAAAGTGTCCTTTTTACCCTTTTAACCTTTTGAGCATCTCACATCGCAATCCTTTATTCCCCACTAATGCTAAATAACAATCGCTAAAATGTGCACTGAATAAATGCCTGAAAAGACATACATTGAAGTAATTGTATTAATTTCTGTTATAGGTTTTAGAAATATGAATATGACTAAAAACATGAGTGAAATTGAATTTCTCTTTTTAATCTATCACTTTTGTTTTACCTAGTTGTGAGTTGAATCACAGTAAAAAGACAACTTCTTAGCAATTGTATGGTGTTTAGGAGAAACTAAAGGACCAGTGGGTCAGATTTTGTGGCATATATTTGCTTTCCAAGCATGTAGGAGAACCTACAGTAGCTGTTGCTTCAATATAAAAATGCAAAAAGCCCTTGTCCATCCTCGGCTACTGTCCAGACACGTTGGTGCAACATGTCTTTGAAGAAAACGAGCTGCCTGCGTTTGTGAGAATTTTTCCGCTCAGAGCTCTCTGGCTTACCAACATGTGGTTAATGTTGTGAAAGAGTCTATTTTAGCCCAAACTTTGGTCTTTTCTTAAACCTAATCAAGTAGTTTTGTTGTTTACATCTAACCAAAGTGCAACTGAAAACTGAAAAAAAAATTAATAAATAAAATACAAAACCGCAAAAAAAAAAACAAGTCTACAAGTTGTAAATCAAGTCTTACATTTGGTTTTACACAGTAATTACATCCCACCACTTCTTCACCAGACTTACTAAAGCCTTTCTGGCAGGATTTATTATTCATGTACTGTAAAGGCAAACTCTTGTCACAAGCAACCAGCTCCAGATGTAGATAGAAAGAGCTTCTCCTAAGCTAAAACACAACCAATTTGAAGTTGTAGGTGATTATACGCTAATGAAAGCATATTTATGTATACTGTATTCTATTTGTACTAATAAATCCATGTAAATTCCACACAAGGCTCCTTCAAAATATCTTTTTTTTTTTTTAGCTGAATATTTGTGCACAGATTCCAAAAGTATTTTTGAATGCAGAAAGTGAAGAATAGTTTCATTGAATACACCACAGAGGTCACAGCGACAATTAATATTAAGTTTAAAACCCCTCCAGTACAATCTTACAGGATATTTTAGGTTTAAATAAAACTTCTTTCATGTAATTCCCAATACAAATTAATAACGCACACACATGCATGCATGCACGCACGAAAACACACACAAAAACACACATGAACGAACACACACACACACACACACACACACACACACACACACACACAATATGTGACTAGAAAATTCCCAATGGGAGAATAGCATTCCTGCAATAACATTATGACATTTGGATGTTGTGCATCTAAACCTCCAGTCACATGGTCTCTCTTCAGTTTGTTGCAAACTTCTACAGCTGTGATGAACCTTTGTCAGACTTTGTGCGACAGCAAACTATTGCTTTGCATATTCTTCGGGTGCAACAGGAAATTCAGACTTCCTTGGAAGTGAAACAAAAGATAGTGCTACTAGTTTTTTGCTTACTTTGACAGTATGATGGAGCATACTGCTTTGTTTACTGTACAATAGTGGCTGTGCAGTTGCCAACACAAAGTAGTGTAGTCTAACAAGGAAAACAAGTTTTGGGTGTAATGAGGCATACACTGTGGATCAAAACCAACTTTAAACAAAGCAAAGCTAAACAACCAGTGAACTCTAAGACTACGTCGCTCCCTCCTCCATATATATCACTGTGTGTTGATGAAAAATGCTATTGCGAATACTTACAACAGCACTGAACTTTAACTTAGCCACACGTACAATTTGTCTTCACGATCCCATCTCTCCTTGAAAATTTCCTTCATATCCTGTTGTTGTGAAAATCTCATTTACAAAGAAGACAATTATCAGCAAACTCCCTGAATGCCCTGAGTTTGCTGCTGACCTCACTGTGACCTTTGACCTCTGTCAGGATAACCTGCAGCAAATCAGAGACTCTGAGCTCAGAGGTGGCAGCAAATGGAAACTCACAGATGACAGAGGAAACGCCGCTCAACAAGAACGTCCCTGTGAAACAAGGTTTGTGTACAACTGTGAGTTTGTGCACTTCATTGAAGCACCAATCAACATGTAATGTTAACATGTGCCCTCTTTCTCCTTTTTGTTCCCCTGGTTTCTCTCAGAGAAGAGTTTCCGTGAGTGTTTGCTGTCTAGGTTCTTTATGTGGCACCTTCTGTGGCTGTCGGTGATGCAACTCAGACATTATCTGTTTATCGGCACCCTCAACCCCATGCTGCAGAGGCTGACAGCGGGAGAGTCTTCATTGGGTAAACGCATGCAAACACTCCTTCGCCTCTCTGTCTGAGCAAAAATAGACATGTGTGCCAGCCTTCCTTATTAGGTAAACTTTCATCATCCTCCCCCTTACCAGAACAAGTTCAATGCATTCTCACCAGTTAGCCTGTGCTTCTACATATAACCTGTCATCAAGGGACATGGATAGAGAGATATTTTATTAGCAACAACAGCTTTTGCAGAACTCAAACGTCAGACCAATGTGCGTCCATAATACCTAATCAGACTGTGAAGGGAAATAGAAAATAATCTAACATTGCTGTATCTGTGTTTAACATGCATTTAAATGTTTTTTACAGTTGTTTTTTTCTTTTATGTCTTTTATGACAAACACTGAAATTATCTGTTTTACATCCTTGTAAATGCTTTAACTTTTGTGACTATGTTTTCTCTTTGATTCTAACTTGCAATTTTCTTAGATAAGCACTTGTATATATGAACTATGCTACAAAAAATACAATTTAGGTCAGTGGGTTAACCAACTGTGGGCCTTTTTTTTCCTAACCATCCTTTTTTTCTTTGCTCGTGTGTCCCCACAGTGAGCCAGTACACCAATGCCTTTGCTATCACCCAGCTGTGTGGTGTGCTGTGTGCTCCCTGGAACGGCCTCATCATGGACAGACACAAAGGAAAACCTCGTCCTGCAGGTAGCACATTGATGCTGATAGTGACTATTAAAGCAGACAGACTAAACCCATTCTGCTTCCTCGTCTCACATTCAGACTGTCAGGGGTTTGGTTTTCTAATAAATTTAGCTGTATTCCTAGAAATGAGAGCAGCACCATCCAAAGTAGGATGTATAACGTCTCTCCTAATAAGACCTGGTTTTCCCCCAAAACTTTACGAAGTAGCTATGCAGCCCACATTGTTGTCTGGACACCACCTCGACAGCCAGCGGTTGAATGATGACAAGAGTCTGACATTGTTTTTGCAGATTTACACACCGATTCTGCATGTCTGATAAGACATACTTTTTAAATGTCTTTACAGCTCATAAATATTAGATTTTTTTTTCACAATCAATAAAGCTTTTATTAATCATTTATAGAATTGTATTAAGCAATGTGCATTTGTTGTTGCCAGCCACGCTAAAATAGCTATTGTGTTCTTCACCGTGTGTGTGTGTGTGTGTGTGTGTGTGTTTGTGTGTGTCATCATAGCAAAATGTGAGTCATCATCAGCTGGAACATTTAAGTGTTGATGGAGGTCACAGCTGGTGTGATCACATTGCAAGATGGCTTTTAGTGAAAAATCTATAGCTTATTATCAGCGGCGCTGCTGGTAATATTTTTATCTTGTGAATGTGTATGTGTGTGCATATGTGTGTGTGTTGGTGTATCATCATAGCAAAATGCAGTCATAAGGTGTCTGCTGTAACAGTTACTACCACAAAGTTCAGATTTTACCAACATGATAGTGTCCCAACTGTGCAAAAATACAATCACAAAGACTTACAGGTGAATACTTAAGTTTAAAATGATGGATGAGTTCAAAGATGCTCTTTGTGCGACTCATTAATCCTGAGGAAATGGCAGTGGAAGGATGTGGGCCGAGAGGCCACTGTGATGGTATGACGCCATCACTAGATGGTCTATATTTATCCTCCTCTTTCTTTAATTTTTAAATTAGCTCTTGTATTCATCAAGCCCTCGTCGATGTGCAGATTAATCATTTAGCAAGTGCAAAAGAGCTGCAGAGCAGTTCATTAATATTTACCACATGAGACTGCAGTAGGGAACCCTTTGTGAAAGATTTTCATTTGAAAAACAGCCTTAGACTTGACTTTCTTTCTAATTTGCATTATTCAGTTTTTAGGTTGACAACAAAGAAAGGTAAAAAAATAAAATAAAACAAACCAACCAAATCATTAATTGATTAATAAATGTAATTCTTGTTGATGGCCTATTAGTCATCCGTAAAGGATTAAACATTCTGTTTTAATCATTAAAAAAAACCTAAATGAGTAGTAGGTAATGTCCAAATGTCTAGCGATATTAATTTACATATTCCAAAGTCAGCATGTAGTTTTCCATATTACTGGTAGACACACTAACTAAAAAGATTTTATACTTTAGAAAAAGCAAGAAAAAACAAAGTGCATTTAATGTGATCAGAGATATTCAAGTCTGAAATTCTTAGATCTTTTCACAGTAGTGTTGCTCTGACAGAAAAATCTGGATCTTCCAGCATTTTTGATAGAATAAAAGCCTGCAGATGAGGCAGTGAACAGGTGCTGTAGAGTGAGCTGTCCTCTCCGTGTCGCCACTTATGTGGAGGAATAATTTCATGATTTTTCTGTGTGTATCTTGACAGGAGAGACTGAACAGGAGTCGGACTTGCGGGCCTCGGTGCTTTCTCTCTTCCTGACAGCGCTGCAGTGTGTGCTGTTTTCTGTTTGTGCGTCCACCCCTTACCTGCCGCTTCAGTACCTCACCTTCATCCTGCAGGTGCTCAACCGCTCCTTCCTCTACGGCGGCAACGCAGCCTTCATCAGCGTGGCGTGAGTATCAAACACAGTCACACACACATATATGTACACATGGAAACACCTGTTTGTTTCTGAGGTGTGCAGCACACAGACATGCACTTCTACAGTAGATACAGATTTAAGCTCAGTTAATTTACTGAACTTAACATCATCCCGAATACTCATTTTTTGTCAAATCCTAAGGTAATATTTCCTGGTTTAGTAAAGGTTAAATTAAAAAAACATAGAAATAAGGGTCACAATCATTTCATTTTCAAGTTGTTTTATTAATCCTTCATGTTCACCTTATTGTCACTCTGCAGTTTCCCGTCATGCCACTTTGGGAAGCTGTACGGTCTCGTCATGGCTCTGTCTGCAGTGTTTTCTTTGCTGCAGTACCCCTGCTTTGCTCTGGTGAAAGGAGCTCTGGATGGAGATCCTTTATATGTGAGTATATTTCTTACACTATACCTCTTGTCCTCCAGCTCCCTTCATCACCTGATCATCTCATGTCTGTCTGCTTCCTCCCTCCCCATGTCTGCAGGTGAACGTCGGTCTGACGGTGCTCAGCCTGTTGGCCTTCATCCATCCCCTCTCTGTCTACCTGCACTGTCGAAGAGTCTCCTCCCAGCGAGCTACGAGCAAAGCCATCAGTGCCTCATCTTAAAGTCTGTAAAGTGACACCAAAGACTCACTCTTAAGAGACTGACCACCAGTGATGCTGTTACCTCTTCAGTTTGTTTTATTAATGCTTCCCACATGGCTGTGCTGTGATGCCGTTTCTACAGTCAAGATGGTACGCTTTTTTTTTTTTTTTGCTTTCCAGGCTTTGTGTTTCAACACACTCAGTTGGACATAAAACAGAGGACACTACATTAAAGTGCAAAGGCTTGCATCGATAGAGAAACTGCAAAGTTTAGGAGATAAAAAACAATTTTATAGTCACACTAAACTGGTCATATTTTAAAATGTTGTAGAAAATGCTTTGTAGCCAAACACTGCCTGATGTCTTGAACACAGACATCAACAGGTATCTTCCCTGACGATGCTCTCCGAAGCCTTCAGCAGGATTACTGCAGCTCAGTCTGATATAAATCAGGTGAATCATCAGTCAGTTGAGGATGTTCCACCTCCTCACCCACAAAAACCTTTTTTGGCTGCATGCAGCTGAATCTGAGCACACAGGATGCGCTTGTGAATCTTTGCGTTCATCCTGTTGCTTCCCTCGGCAGTGAAATCATCGATACCTGTGCCAATTCTACTTCCATAACAGAATGACTCCTGTGTTTAAAGATGGGGTGGTAATGCTTTGCGTCATTAGCTGTTCTTTTTTTCCCTCCTCACCATGCTCTTTACATCATTTTGATAGTAATTTATTTTTGTTTTCTGCGAATGGCAACCCGGTCCTTCTGTTTGTGAGGCTTACTGGGAGTCTGCTTCTCAATCTTCCAGACCTTTGACATCTTTATAGTAGATTTTTAGTTGTTTTAGCTTCCCTTGCATGGTCACCTTTTTACTCTTTGTAGTATATAATCAATCTAAACGGTAACTGTGAGTCAGCTATAAGGCATTTGCGCATGAACTAACACTGAAACCACACATAGACACCCATAAACATTTCGTAATGTTGTGGCGTCCATTTGCTTTTACGCCATTGCAGTTCAGGCACACTCTCACAGGTCTTTCAGTACCCACATAGTTCTACTCATCTGAACTCAAAGGAGAGCTGAGACTTGGCACTTGTATGTATTTTCCACTGTTTTATTCTAAGTTTGATTTGCTGAAGGACAGAGCCTGAAGAACAAAAAAGTGGACATGTCCACATACTTACAGTCTGGGTTGTTTAGGAATGGCTCTAAGTGCATGTAAATGCATTTCAGATTGTAATGCAGCATAAAGTGTGATTTCAGGTACAGTCTAATTGTTTGAGCATGTTATTGTTTAAGACATTCTGGGATGCAGCTGACTGCCCACATGTCCTCTTTACCTCTTGTATGTTTCCAGGATATACAATTTTATTCAATCTGCATTACTGTCTCCACTAAATTCTTTTATTCTTTCGCACAATATTTTGGAGTTTTAGCTGATGTTGCGCTGCTCCTTGAAGCATCTCAGTGTTTTAAAGTCATGCTAGCTGTGTTAATTTTGGGTTTTGTTGTTGCTTGTTTTATACAGTCTTACTATTCAACATGTCTTTAGCATTTTTGTAAATAATTTATGTGATACTAGGAACCTAAAAAATTTTACAAATGTAAAAATCTTACATATCGAGTTTATATCAGAGCGGACCTCTTCAGGTTATCTCTGTATGCTGCATATTTTAATTATAAAAAGAGAAAAGGACCATCTCTGTTAATCATAGGGACTGAATAAGGGACATTTGGAATCAGACTATGATGTATAAAGTGTAAAACAATAACTTAAGCTCATTGTTGGACATAAAAACTCTTCAGTGAAGCCCCTCTGTTAGTACAAAGGTCGGCCGTTCAGTAACTCAGTCCTGCCATCTGCTGGCTTCACAATGGGCATCACTGTGACATACTTTAACCAATGATAACATAATGAAGTTCTGTTTGCATTCAGCATGTGAAGTGTCAGGTGCTCAGTGTGTTTTGGGATTTTTTTTAATGCACTGTGTCATAACTAATGTTGACATGTAAATGATTATGAAGGGATTCTTGTTTTGTTTTTTTATTACCAGTAAGTTTACGTGTCCAGTTGACATTATTTTTTGAAGTGCCAAGACTTTGTGGTGGCTGATAGAAATGGTGTTCTACATATCTTCATATAATACCAAATCTACATGTAAAATACAAACGTCACTGTGCTGCACCAAACAAAATCTATATTTTGATAATAACTTTTGTAGTGTAATAAATGGCACTGATATCCTCAAAAGGCCTGTTACATAAACAATGAATGTGATGTTAAACAGTTGTGCACTCACAGTCAGCTGCCAATCGCAGGTGGTGTAGAAAGTGAAACTGTAATCTGTTAAGCAGAGAAAACTTTAAACGAAACATTTCCAGTAAATGTATGATTACAATACAAACATACAATTTGACTGTAATACGTGCTGAAATGATAATTAAATGTTAATCCCAGAATACCAACAGTGTTTGACTACTGACTTCATTACTGACTGACCACTTTTGACTGTTTAATGCATTTAATTAATCAGGATGTACAAGATGTAACTCTCAAAATGCAAGGTGAGTATTTTTAATTGAAAGATACTGATACACTATAACAACATATAGCAATATACCGATCTATAAAAGTATTCTAAGTAATATATACAGTGTAATATATATGTGTACTCTGGAATGTAGAAAGATCTACAAAATGTCTCAGTCTGTGACTTTAGAGGATCGTTTCAAAGTCTGAAGAAAGAACCAACCATGGTGACATCAGCAGAGTTATCTCAGCTTGTGTTCTGAGATAACATAGCTGCATTACAAACTCTGCTGTGCAATATATAAGAAATGAGCATTTAGCAGGTAAGGAAGCTCTAAAGAAAGATGGTATTGAGTTGAATCATGGATCACTGTGTGATGAAAAATGAGGATAACTTGGCCTCTTAAAAATGTCTGCATTTAGTGTATATGTATCTTGGTACCATTAAAAAAGACAGTTGTCCCTCAGTGTGTTCTCTCAGTGAAAGGACCTGAGTGCTTCACCTCTGCAGAAAGCAAAGATGTGAAATAGTCCAAACAGAAGGCAACTGATAAAAGGCTTTAACCTGAAACTGGGCTGAATCCACCAAGTCAATTTACAGGTCTTGGGAAACAGTACTTCAAAAAAAGTTGTATAAAGGACTTTGTGGCCCCAGAGGGAGCTGTCCTAAACCTGAGAAATTGCCTCAAATGATGTTGGTTGGGGCTGAAGATAGCAAGATGAAAAATGGAAAAATATAAATAAATCTGATAACAGAATACATTTATCCATCCATCCATTATCTATACACCACTTAATCCTCACTAGGGCCACGGGGGGGCTGGAGCCTATTCCACCGGACTTAGGTTCGAAGGTAGGGGACACCCTGGACAGGTCGCCAGTCTATCACAGGGCTACACTTAGAGACAGACAACCAAGCACACTCACATTCACACCTACGGACAATTTAGAATCACCAATTAACCTCAACATGTTTTTGGACTGTGTGGGAAGAAGCCGCTGACCCCGGAGAGAACATACGTTGCACGGGGAGAACATGCAAACTCCACACAGAAAGATCCCAGGTGTCCTCACCGAGAGGACCTTCTAGCTTCGAGGCAACAATGCTAACCACCGAGCCACCTTGCAGCAGAATAAAATTATGAATCCCTAAATTTTCCCAAGTGGCTCATCTGGAGCAAGTGTAGCTTGCTCCTCATGTCAACTAGAGCCTGGAGGCTCTCTTCTGACAGAATAACACACTCGAATCTCTGACTGAGCTGTTTGGGGTCAAGCTTCATAGTGGATAGTTGCCAGTTTTATGACAAAGAAGATGATAGCATGGAATATGAAAGACTGGGACATTTTTTTTTGTTTTTTGTTTTTTTTAACTTTTTATTGTGAGTTTTACAGCGACAGAGGAGTGCGATGCTGAATCAGTGCACTACTTCTTTAAGGAAAGATGTAAATTAAGTTCAAATCTGCCGGTTTCACAGCAGCCTCAGAGTGCAGTCTGGCTTCTCTGGTCACGCTGAGACTGTTGGCAGTCAGGCTGCCGGCTGCCTTGTTTTTGCTGAAAGTAATGAGGAGATTTCACATGGGGCAGAACGATCTGGGGAAAATTCTGGCACCTGAAATAACGGACACTCCACCACAACACCTGCTGTGTCCCGACACCATGAGCCCAGAAAAACTTGATGCAACTCTACAACGTCTGTCACAACAAGAATCGTGTGAGTGTGCGCATAGAGAACATGTGCACGGTGACAGGTTCCGCCCTTGCATCTGCGTCATCAATGATCACAGCTTCAGCATCTCGCCCCTTTAAAAATACAGACTTGCATAAATGTATGACATAAATAGGAGTGCAGGCGAGAGGGAGAGATAAAAATAAGCCAATCTGTTAATGAGGGGATGTGTTGGGTTTATATGTTTTTAATTAGACTGAATCTGTTGCAGAGACCGAGGACATCTTTATGACACAGACTTAACAGGTTGATTCAAACTGTGCTGTTACACTTACTGATACGATGCCCTGTAATAATCTAGAAGAAGAAGAACTACAGCGACAACAAGAACTACAAGACCAAGAAGTACAAGAAGAAGAAGAAGAAGAAAAAGAACTACAGTAATAAGAAGAACAATGAGAAAAGGCAGAAGAAGAAGAACTAGTACAGGAAAAACTACAGAAGAAGATGAAGACCTACAAGCAGAAGAGGAAGATCTACAAGAAAACAACACAAAAGAAAAAGACCAACAAGAAGAAAGTAAATAACTACAAGATGAAGTCCAAGAAGAAGAAAAGGAAGAAGAACTACAAGAAGAAGAAAAACTACCAGAAGAAGAGGAAGAAGTACTCGAAGTAGATCCAGATCTACAACAACAAGAAGAAACAAACTGCAAGTGGAAGAACTACAAGAGGAAGAATGACAAGAAAAATAACAATAAGAAGAAGAGGAGGAAGAAGACTGAAAAGATGAAAAAAAACCTACAAAATTAGCATGAAGTTAAAAAAAAACAAACCAAGAAGTAAAGGGAAAAACTACAAAAGAACAAGAAGAAGAACAAGAAGGAGGATGAGGAGAACCACACAAAGAACTACAAGAAGAAGTAAAAGAATAATAACAAGAAAAAAAATTAGAAAAGGCACAAAAATAAAGAAGAAATACAAGGAGGATAACAAGTAGAACGACAAGACGCAGAAGTCTTAACTTCAAAGAGTACAAGAAGAAGATGAAGAAGACAAAGAAGCAGGGCATGACGAAGTTCAAAAAGATAAAGAACAAGAACAATAAGAACCACAAGAAGAAGATTATAAAGACAACTGGAAAAAGAAGAAGTACTTCGAGAACAAGGAAAAAATGCAAGAAAAACAAATAGAACTACAGGAAGAAGAACTACAGGGAGAACACTGTCAGCCTTTATGTAGTAGTAGATTAGAAGTGCATGAAATATTAGATCTAATTTAATGTTATAAACCACACAGGAGTTTCAACTTTACAGCTTTAAATGTTTTATCCACATGACAACATCAGTAATAACAATGCATAAAAATATTAGTACTTTAATCTAAGGATCTGAATAGTTCTTCCATGAATACTTATTCCCAATTCCTAGTTTTAATGTTTTTAATGATATTTTACACAATGGACCTTTTTCACACTGATGCTTTTGACATAACAATGGCTGAATTCCATTTAGCTGCTCCAGTAGTTTCAGTTTTTCATGTTGTCTCACTGCCCCACAGCCATGTGTCATTATCAATATTGTGCTTTTCCTACTACGGCAAGCCAAAATGTCAAGAAAAACAGATTCTACATGCCTAAAGCTAGCTCCATAAAGAAATCATTTATACAGTGTGAGAAACAACTTGACTGAACATCACAGAGCTTTGACCTTAACCGTAAAACCCCCTGAGATGAATGAGTAATTCTGGCCTGTGAGATAATGTTTAAGATTACATTACATACAATTGCTTTTAGTGACATAGCATGCATTTTTTTTCTTCTTATCACATCTGTTGCACATCTACTGTTTATGTTTGACAGTGGCGGGCCTTGCATTTTACTCTTAGTGGCGTTCTTCCTGAATCAAACCACCTCTTAACACTGTAATTATGACGCCACCGCAATAGAAACTATCAGTATGATGCAGAAAGGCAGCACAACAGGACGTTGCATTGCAGACAGGTATCTCATGTAGCGAGAATGAATGCCATCACTAAAGCAAGAAATCCAGTTAAAACAATTCAACAAGTCTCCATTAACTGTAGCCACAGCTGCACCATATACATCACATCACTATTTCCCTGAAAAAACATGCTGTGTTTTGGTCCGCTATGCTGTCTTTCAAGCTGCGTGTTCGGAAAATTTTGCATATTTTACAGTAAAACGTACAAGTAACTCGTCTCTCTACCGTCATCTTTGATCGATACTAACGGATAGAAGCGTTAGCAGCGAAAACACTTACGTCTTCACTAACTGGAGGGGGGGATTTCTGCACATCTAACAAGACTGTCAACATCAGCCCAAAAAAAGGCAAAAATATACATTTTAATCACCAAAACTTATGATTATTTGAACACAAACTCCATCCTCCTTTCTTTCATCATAAACAGTTCAATCACTCTGTTGAGCAGGTAATCCACGTGTTTCACTTTCAACAAGTCCTGTTCCATCACCATGGAGGCTAATGCTGAAAGTCAGGTCTGTCCAGTCGTGTTTCTGCCATAAGTTTTAATTCGCTTTAGGGCTGAGAATGTACACTTGCTTAACTTTAAAAAAACAAACAAAATAAAACATCTTAATACTTTTATGATAAAAATTAAGCTTGTGCAGGTTGCTACAGATACGAACCGCTAGCTTTGGCTAAGCTCTCTGACCATCCAAACAGAGGACGTGAAAATGCTGATGTTAATGTAGGCCAGCTAGCTGGTCCTGGGACCACCAGCTCTAAATCTGATTGGCTAATGCAACAGTTTCATTACAATGCGCTTTAAGCTACAGATGCCTGCACTTTTGATTCTGAAGGCCTCAGGGCAGATTTCTGTGACCCTGGCAGCACATGATGGCTGACATATGATTGGATAAAAGCTCTAATATAAACATACGCTGCTGGAAGAACCACAGCCCAGAGACACTATGAAATGAAGAGAATAGACTGTTGAGAATAATGTAGAAAGATTAATGGGAAAATATTACAACGTAAGTCAGTGATTCTGATAGCGTTTAGGCCAGCAGAGAAGACCTTGCAAGTATTTTAAAACAACACTGAAGACTGTTTCGGAAATGTGATTTTAACCTTCAGTCACAAATAGCTTTTAGGCATTTAATGACCTCAAAAGTCAGGCATATACATTTTAATTGGGTGCAAACATGAACTTTCCACATTCTCTTTTCACACTGTAACTAAATATCAGATGATTCACTGTCTTGTTAACAAAGTCTTGTCGGACCTTTACTGTCTCAAATGACACCCACATCTTGTCTGATTCATTCGTTTCTATCAACTTCACACTGCATTTAATGGCTCAGATGTAAGCGACTCTTGGATTCTTAAAGATTCTTAGACAACTTTGGATTGTCTGTGTGTTGTATAGCCCTGTACCACATCAGACAAAATGCTGGTGACCTAGATCTATTGATGGCAAGCTAAAAAAAACAAACAGGGGCAATGCAGGAAAGTATGAAGATAAATTGAGAAACTCTGAGAGAGTGAATTTTAAAGCAAAATATGTCTGTCAAAAACACTTTTGGGAAGTTTTCATGTCAACTTGTGGAGTTTTCTCTCTCTGATTTTCAACCCTGCACCCAGTAGTCAGACTCACACACACAGGGTCATCAGCACTGTATGTGAGTGTATGTTCATGTGTGTGAGCGGGTGTTATGGAAGGACTCAGCAACACGTTTTTTTTTAGGATTGGGACAGATGAACACGCTGTGTTTACACCAGTTCAAATGCCAGTGTCCCCATGATTCACTTTTACACAGCAGGCAAGTGAGAGGACGTATGGGAGGGGATTTGAGAGTGGTGGTGCATATGTGCGTATGTTGTTACATAAAATTATGCATTTTCATGTTTTGTGCCTCATGGTTGGGCCACAATTATGGTATCACACAGACACAGGCTTGAGTGTGAGTACCAGTACAAAGACACTGGTGAAAACAGGGTGAATGTATCCAAAGTGTCAGTCAGATACTTGATAAGTACTAATTCACACACACAAAGTTTGGAAACTGTCACTGTTAGGGATAACGGAGATTTTAGGACCAAAACCCATTTTGAGCATTCTGACGACAATTAAAGTGAAATCCAATAGAGGTGTGTGTGTGTGTGTGTGTGTGTGTGTGTGTGTGTGTGTTAATAAAAGTCCCCATTTTTTTTACCTAAGTAAACTCAGAAACACACACACACACACACACACACACACACACACACACACACAACCTAATTGAAGATGAAGACAAGCTGGTGAGCTGGCTGCCTCCCTCAGTTGCCCTGGGGCCAAGAATATTGTGAATGCATTACATGTGAACACACACATCTGACCTTATCAGACCCCCGCAGAGGTTACTAATGCCTGCTTTGTGAGCTGTATGCCTTCCATAATCACTACAAAATGTATCCAAGCGTGATTCCAAACTAACTCCCCGAGCTGAGCTCACAGCTTGGAGTTACAGATGACCTTCCAAGGAGCAGGTTTTGGGTGAGTGTGTGTCCACTTGGGAACAGATGATGTGCATCATAGTGGACCTGGTCTTGACCCGTGACACGAACAGAGGACTCATTAGTGAGTAAACCCAGCCCACCCCTGCCCTGACACGAATTATTTCACATGCACAAAACCTCCTTGTCCCACGCCTACCCACATCTCGCCAACACACTTCACTGCACCTTCTCCAACAAATTGTTATTTGCACTGAAGCCTAATTAGCTTAAAGCTGTGACTTATTCAGACAGATAGGTGCTTGGTGTCCTTCACTGTTACTGTCAGCATCACTGGTGTTTCACCCCATCTTCATTCATATCTCATAAGAAAGGCCACTTATCTCAGTTAGAGCAGATGGAAATAAGTCTTGTGCTAAATCTGACGTATTTACTGCAACCTTGTGTAAACTATTGAGATTGTACTATCATTAATATGCACTGTCCCATCCAAATAAAATAATGAAAGAGTATCAAAAACATCATCTTGGATGGCACTGCTATGATGAATATGGCACTAAAGAGAGGATTTGTTTGGTGAGAAATGTAACTGGATGTGGAGCAAGTGTCCTACCACAAAAAAAAATATCAGGAGTATATCACCTCTCCTCCTCGCACAAGTGTAACCAGTCCATATGCTGTGTTAGATCATTTCACTCCACCACCGGGTTTCTCTTTCATGTTCATCTGTTGTTCTGAATTGTAGGCGGCTCTCGGCTCCTTTCCAAACTGGCCTACACTGAAAAAGAAAAATGATATTTCGACTTTAATGCCAAATGAGCTTTCCCACCTCCTGTCCTCCTCCAACCCCCATGTGAGCGCATGTGCCACGGTGGAACCAACACAAGCCCTTTTCAAAGGCAGTAGTCATGCAATAAACATGTTTCCTCAGGAACTGGTTAGTTTGTTGTCACCAAAAGCCTCCATCCCACCTCCATGTTTCATCAACAGTGTTCCTCCCACATTGCATTTTCTCTTAAATGATTAATAGATGAGTTACTGCTATGGCCTCAGGAAATGTAAAGTCCTAAAAGAATGGCAACATAAAGGATGCTTTCCTCATGTTCAGAAAAAGTACAAACATTTAAGAAAAAGTAACAGACTGCGCCTCGTGGTGCCTTTAATTAGCACAGCATAATAGGACATTTCGAAAAAATCTTCTTTTTGACAGACAGTGGTGCGTAACCGCCGTGAAGACAATGACAAAACCCGCCCTGCCGCTGCCTTTCTTGTCTCTTCCTCCGGTGGCTCTCACCCCTCCTCCCGGCCTGACGTAGAGTGGATCCTCCGCTGCCCACGGTCGTGGGCGAAGACCGGCCGCGGGTATAAAAAGCTTCCCGGGACTCCTGAACGTCACTGCCTGAAGCAGCAGCAACTCGGTCACCAGAGCTGAACCTCAGCAGAGATAGCAGCAAGCAGGCATTTCCACGCCGTGCAGGCTAACTCGCTTTCGGCTTTGGTTCGAGATGGAGACTCGTTGTACCGTGAGGGGCTCCAGCGCCCGCAACTTTAAGGGTAAGTAGCCCATTATCTTGCACTTGCAGTTTGAATGCAGAATCCTGATTTTACGCATGCATTTATGTGATTCCAGTTTACTTATCAGCTTGCAACTCACTGTTCTACAGTTTTCTAAGATTTAAGCAAGTAATTTCAAGACAATCTTCTTTCAAATTTTTCAAAAATTTTCATGTTATTCTGGGTTACAGCAATCTTGTATGTTTGTGTAAAGAAGCTGAATGTAACAACTTTATTCCGGTTTTACGCACAGTTTGCGTGTATTTGAAGTTTTCGACTGAGTTTTATGCACTATTATATATTTACGTCTAGATTATACTTGACAGTGCATATTAGGAGCTGGTCGTGCGCATTTATTGGGTATATTGGTGCAAAGACTCCTGACTAGACTTAATTCAAATCAAAATTTTTGGGATGTTATCATCTGTATGAAAAGTTATTTAACATAGGATTAAAATTATATTGGGTCTGTTGTGAAGTTTTAAAAAAACAAAAAAAAAAAACTGCCTAGCCAATCTCTCCGTGTCACTTTTACGCACGAAGAGATGCAAGCCTGACTTGTACGTGCACGATTCTTAACTTTATTCTTCATCAAACATATCTTTTTGTTGCAAATAAAACTCCAAAAAGATGTCTAATTTGACTCACAGGTCTCAATCCGGCGGTCCCCCAGCGTCCAGCGCAACTAATAGCCCAACTTGTTAAGAGGTCAAGGGGTGAGACGCTGGAAAATCTTGCGCACATAAGATGAATAGGAACTTCATTACTATTTAATGCATGTACTTTTCCCGCGGTGGCCACTTTTGTGCAACGATATCCGAGCTGTGCCAAGAACCTGCGAAATTATTGATAAGAACAGAAACCGATCCAGGTCTGGTTACAGGTTTTACGCGTGCTCTCCGTGTGGCAAACCTCTGAGCGGAAACATTCCTTTCGGTGTGAATAGCCTGAGAACTAGGAAACCAGGTTAATGTAATGCAGTGAGCCACATGTGGTTCACGTTTTTGTCTCTTATCATGTACATTGTTGATTTGTGGGAATTTTTGCTGTTCTAAATATCTAAAATACAGAATTATGTAACCAGGTCATATCAGCCACTGTCACCTATGTAAAGTGATCAGGTGGATATGGATGGGTGAATGATTTTTGTAATGTAATCTGGTGAATTATATATGAGGCTCAACGTTCTGAGAGTCATCAACAAGTCATGGGTGAGAGCACAGCAGTGCTAAAAAGAATCACTGACACCAGCAACAGGTTTGACAGACATACAGGGAAAAAAAGCTAAGCTGAAACCGACCTCTCTTTCTTTGTTTTTCACGCACACAATGTGCATGTTTCAAAACCAGGACTAACTAGCAGCAATAATTACCCATTGTTGCTAATCCTTAAAATGTGGTCTTTTTCTTCTCGAGGTAAAAACAATCATGTTTTCTTTCCCTCTCTCTCTCCAGGTGGCCTATCTTTGTGGCTGATTCTGTGGCTGGTGGTGGTGAAGCCGGGCGGGGTGGCTCCATGCCCAAGGCTGTGTGTGTGTTACCCTACGCCCATGACGGTCAGCTGCCAGTCCCAGAACCTGACCATAGTGCCGGCCGGTGTACCCTATGACTCACAACGTGTTTTCCTGCAGAACAACCGCATCACAGAGCTTCGCGCAGACTCTTTTGGCTTCGAGACACAGGTGAGAATGACTGAGAATGGTGTTTATGCTCTTGCCTCTGTTCCGATTATTAATGATGCTTGTTTATTACTCATCTCTGAACTTAGCATTTTTCTTTATTCCTGTCCTGGTGAATTGCTTTGCAGGTGTTGTGGCTATATGGCAACAACATTACATGGATTGAGGCTGGAGCCTTCAGTAACCTTAGGGTGCTCGAGGAGCTGGATCTGGGTGACAACCCCTCACTGCGGCGCCTGGAAGGTGGCGCCTTCAGGGGCTTGGAGAAGCTGCAGAGCCTGCACATGCATCGCTGCAAGCTGGCAGCTCTCCCCCATGACCTCTTCCACAAGCTGTACAGCCTGCAGTTTCTCTACCTGCAGGTAAAGGCAACACCCACACACACACACACACACACACACACCTAAGAGAACGTTTGCTACATGTACAGATAGATTCTGGACAGTCACGCATCGGGATGAACACATGATGCTTGCAGGAGCACACACTTTTTCTGCAGCACTGATTTATGGACACATCCGTCACGTTACAGTTGCCCACATGTAGGCTGCACACCCACACTGATGCTCTCATACTGCACATGTTGAAATATTACTTCGAAGTGGGTTCAGTGAGTTGCACACAACACACACAGTACAACGCAGTAAAACACATGGAAGACTCAGAACCAAAGAAACACTACAGTATGCGCTTCTGCAAAAAACAGTTAACACTATTCAGCAGTGCATAAACAAACCTGAAATTTGTGTGACCATCATATTACAAAGTAAGCTCAAGAGACTGATTTCAACCAATTACAGGGAACTAACTGCACAGAAAGATCAGTGTTGGCAAAGTGAGCAGTTGCCAAATCCTCCATGCATATTTAAGTGAGTGTATAATACGTTAAATGAGATTGTGCCCACACATTTTCTCTCAGTAGCCTTTCTAGCTGCGAGCTTTCTCTTTCAACATGAAACAAAATCTAGAAAAACAAAAACACACTCTAGGAACAAGTTGCAATATACTGTAAAATATAAAAGAAGACCAAAAAGTCATGACAAGCTCACATATTTAAACAGACCTACAGCCAAATGACTGAAAATGAACAATATCCACAGACATTCAACATTTCACTTGAAAAGGCATACAGACACCAAACTCCTTCTAAAGTTTAACCTATTAAAATTACAAAACTAAAACATCATATTTAGAGGACAATATAAAAAAAAAAAAGCTCATCCAAGCTCAGCTTTATTTATAAATGACTTCAAACTCAATACTGTAGAACTCAATACCTTTGAAGTACAGAGAATACAGTAATACTTTATATTTTACATTTATAAATGTATGCCCCACAGTATCTATATATGATAAAACTTGTATTTGCTTTCCTACTTTTAAGGCAATGGTTCATTTCTGTACACTGTGAAAATTAGCTTGCAGAGATGTCACGTGCAATTTTTTTTTGTTTTTTTTGCCAGAGTTGTTTTGGCCACTGTCAGATGTTGGCAGCTGACAGTGATTCAAACTCTGTTCAGTCAGACAATAAGTCCCTGCCAAGATGCCTTTTGAAGGAATAAAAGAAAACACATCCCACATTCGAAGCCGCTTGAAACAATGCAGGTTGCTCCTGACCTCCGTAAAGCTACATTCCAGTAGGAAGCCTCCCAAGTGTACATATATGGTCATTTCAGAGGAAGCAAGAAACTCTTTGTTTTTTCTACAGATGGTAAACATTGACGGAAACTTTTGCAATTCCTAAAAGAGAATTCATATGTCACATATGCAGTTAAGAGTTTACAATCAAGTTTAGATTTATAGCTCACTTGAGATTCATCAGATTGTACAGCACATCAGATCTAAAATTTAGCTTTAGTTGTACAACTTCAAATGCAATCGTTTTTCTTATAAGGAAATTTTACTCAAATCATTCTTTGGTTTTTCCCACATGTTGTTTCACCACATTAAATCTTTTTATATTTTGACTTTGCTGCAGGAAAATCAGCTCCACTTCCTGCAGGATGACCTGTTTTCAGATCTGGTCAACCTCACCCACCTCTTCCTGCATGGAAACCGTATCCGTGCCCTCTCTGAGAATGTGTTCAGGGGCCTGGTCAACCTAGACCGCCTCCTAATCCACGACAACCGCATCAGGCAGGTCAACCGCCGGGCTTTTCGTGACCTTGGCCGCCTGACCATCCTCTATCTGTTCAACAACTCCCTGGCTGAGCTGCCAGGCCAGGCCATGAAAGATGCCCAGGGCATCCAGTTCCTCCGCCTCAATGGTAACCCCTGGTCCTGCGGCTGCGAGGCCCGTCCCCTCTGGGAGTGGTTCCGCAAGGCCCGCATCTCCTCTTCTGAGCTCATGTGCTCCTCCCCATCTCAGCGTCGTGGCCAGGATCTCAGATTCCTCCGGGAGCTGGACTTCGCTCTCTGCCCTCTGCCTGACCCTGGATCCCTGGCTGGAACCACCACAACAACCTTTAGCACCAAAACCCGCTGGTGGTTCTCCAAGCATAAGCCCGCATCTTCCTCCAAGGCCTCGTACCAGAAGAGCTCAGAGACAGTGAAGGCCTTCCCCTTCTCTGGTGTCAAGCCTCAATACGTCCCCAAAACCCCCATCGAAACCTTTCCCGTTAAATACGAACTGTCAGCGGATGAGGCAGCACTACCCAAGCTCGACCCAGAAGAGTACTGGGCCAACTATGGCAACGAAGACTCCTCAATCCGGTGCTTTGAGCTGGAGTGTCCTCCAAACTATGACAACCCAGCCTTCCCCTCATCCTCCTCCATAACCATCACTCCATCTCTGCTCCACCTCCTTTCCGTTTCCATAGTCACAGTCTCCCTCCACTTTCTTTTTAGCTGAACTCCTTTCTCTCCACCTCCCCTATTTTTCCTCTGATTTCTCCCCCTGCTCTTTCCAACTATAACAACCTGGATCTCAATTCCTTTCAGTTGCCTCCTCGACATGCAGGAGGTGCTATACTGATGCAGAAGACAGGTGGTGCAGCAGGGAGCCGTTGGTCAGTTGAGCTGATGTAGAGCAGGACCAGATTTACGCTGAAATAATTGCTGCTTAATAGTACAGGCTTTTAAAAAAAAAGCAGGGATCACATCACAGAAACTGACTCTGTTAGTGACAGTACGAAGGCAGAAACCTACCAAGTTAGGTTGGGTCTCCAGGTGATTTTTTCAGTACCGCAGCTGTAAACAACGCAGGCGTTGTGACTCATCTACAGCTATTTTCTATATCAACTAGCGCTCACCATCTAATCACCACTGACATGATCCTGCACTAATTTATTCTTTCATCATGAATAAAACTGGTGATCGATGGAGGGTTATGTGGCACTACCAGAAGTAGGAGAAAGTTGAGGATTAGCACAGACGAGGAGAGATGTGGGAAGAAACTGTTTTAGGAAGATGATCATTAGATCTACAATCAAGGGTGACTTTTCTCTCCCAGTCAGATTCAAAATCTCGTGTGATCCCAGAGATGCCAGCAAACCATCACCACCAGCACCTGTACATACCACATACATCACTGTACATGCACCCACTGCACACTGTATTTTAGACTAGCTGGATTTGTACTTTCTTTTTGGTACACTTTGGTAAAAATGTTTGTAGTGATAGAGGAGATACCTAGATTGTCAACAGAAGGTGAACAAATTATACGTGGAAACTCTTTTTTGCCCTTCGTGTTTTTCACTCTTGTCTCTTCCCCTCACAGACAAACTAAAAAAACTTGTTCCACACTAGAAGGAGACTAAAACAACCAATGAGGTTCAACATATCAGAGCTACCTTTCATCTAAGCAGGAAAATAGATTTTCACTGCCTAAAAATAGAAAAAGGAAGACTTGTTCTCCAGATTCCGATTTTTGCGTGTGTGTGTGTGTTTTAGTTTTTGCTGTGTGAGTGAAAGTTACCTGTTGTAGAATAACAGACCAAAGTCTAGAAGAGACCAGTTTCATATTCTCTTAGTAAAACGAGTGCCTGTATGTGTGTGTAACTGACAGAGTTTAAGAGGCTGTTAGTGTGGAGGTGTAAGCTGAAACAGAACAGGGTATAAAGTAACACCAAGGTTGAGTGCTACACATCCTTGTGTGTTGTTTGACACCTCAGGCTGTTGTCCAGTAAGTTCCGGTTTCATTACACGTAGACCTGCTGTTGGTCTCCAGGTTTTAATGAGTGTGAATGTGTCTGAACAACAATGTGTTTCCTTTTTTCCTGACTTGGGATGAAAAGTCTTTGGTGCACAAATGAACTTATGTGTCTCATAGACTGACAACTGTAGAGTTTTACAATTACACGGCAATCTGCCAAATCATCTGATCTGGATTTAGTAAATACAACAATGTGATCTGATTTCAGTGATATAGATCAATATTTTATGGTCCTACAGATCATGGCATTTACACACTGAACCTTCTCACCCATACTGCGCCTCTCTATTGCCAGTATGTGTTTGTGGGTAATGGAATGGGTGTTTACTCAGCCATCTGTTCGACACAATGCCAGTACAACCTAATTTTGGTCGGCATTATTCATGTCAGCCATACGCTCCTCATCGGTCCCATCTGTTAACTATGAACCTGAATCATGACTGTGAGTTTCTGACTAGAACATGAAAGATACTGTGACGTTGTTTGAGTCTGTTTTTGTTTTTTGTTTTTTTCCAATGAAAAAACTTGTTAGAAAAGTGTTTTTGCTTTCTTTGCTATAAAAATAAAGAAATAATTAAACAGAAGTGACTGAGTTTCCTAATTGTTTCACTGTTTACTCTCTAAGGATGCCACAATGGGGTACAATAGATGGGCAAAAGCTGAGTTGGTATGCAAGCACAAACACTGCAATAATAAAAATGGACAGTAGCAACTTTAACTTTATGCAGTTGTGGTTTGAATAGAAAAGCAGAAATCTGACAGCAATCTGACGCTGCAATGATGAATTCATTGAGCCAAACTGATAGCATGTTGAATAATGCTTTTTAATAGATTTTCATAAGGACTGACGAGCAGGACTAGGATGTACAGTCCTCCTCAAATGTATTCATACCCTCCCATTAAAGAAGGGACAAAAACAGCTGTCACTGAAATAAGTTGAAACTGACAAAAGTAATAATAAATAAAAATTTAATGAAAATCATGACATTGCTTTTGAATTATGTTTCAACAGAAATATTAAAAAAACAAAACAAAAACAAACAAACAAGCAAACTAACAAGTAAACTAATATTTTGTTGAACAACCCTTTGAGCCAATCACTGTAATCAAGTGTTTTCTGTAACTCTCAGTCAGACTTCTGCACTTGTTGACAGGTATTTTGGTCATTTCAACCACAATTCAAAAGCAATGTCTTATTTCACTAAATTATAATTTAACTATTTTTTAAATTTATTATTACTTTTTTCAGTTTCTAGTTATTTGAGTGACTATTGTGAATTTTGCCTTTTCTTTAATGGAAGGGTAGGAATACATTTGAGGACGACTGTAAACACAGTGATGGGAGGGATGTGGTATCTGTTGTATGTCTGTGTGTTTATGAAAATGTGTGTAGGTTATGCAGTTCATGTGAAACTGCTCACTCCACACCCTAATCAGTTATCTCAGCATGCACAGAAGGCTGTTATATATGACCATATCATACAGTGAGATGGATGAATAAGCTGTCAGCGTGTGTGTGTGTGTGTGTGTATGTGTATGTGTGTGTGTGTGTGTGTGTGTCCAGGGTCTTTGGTGAGGGGGCACGTAATTGTGACTCAGAAAAGAGGCAGAATGGGGAACATACCAGGAAGAAAGTGTGACAACGTGTCCCGGAACCAACACACCCCCTCAACAGATTAACTCTCACAATGTTGATGATAAGTGGAATGCAACAGCTCACATCTTCTCTGTTTTGCCATCTACATGAACGTTTATTCACCACTTTCAGTTTTAATTTGCTCTCACGTATGAGGTTTCAGAATACATCAAGTAGCCAGTTAGCTTAGCTTAGCTCGAAGAATTGGAAACAGAGGGAAAAAAAACGCATTCCTTGCTCGGTAAAAACCTCTAACCCTGGGTGATGTAACCATGACGCTGTCTCTCTCTTTCTAACGCCACTCATGTCTCTATGAACTCTATTTGTGAACTTTTTTTTTTTTACTTGTTGAGTGGGTTTGCTGACTTTTCATTGAATGGTGAGAGTGTTACGGTTTTGTGCAGCAGGACCAGGTTATAGCCAAGAGCTTTAATTATGACAGTGGGGCTTCACAGAGTCTCCATGCTTCTTTCCTCATTTACACTTCAACAGAGATTTATCTTAAGCCTGGGATATTTGTTTTGTTTGACTTCACTGATTTGCGCTCAGCAGTGGAAGACCTCATTTACTTATGATTTTTAATTTCTACAGCCTCCAGCGGAACAAACAAGAAATGACTGAAACAGGAACTCTCAGATGGTTGCAGAAGTCCATTGACTCTCTACAAAAGCAACCTGAAAGAAGTCTTTTGAGTTTTTTTTTTTTTAAAAAGGTGTAATTTTATCCTTGCTGATCCTTGGGCATAGCAGAAGAAGCCTTGATGAAGTAACAGCGTAAATGCCAAACATTTCATTCTTTTTCCTCCTTCAGCTGTAATATTTATTTTTCTTAGAGGTTTGAAAATGTACACAACGTTTTCTCCCTCTTAAAGAAAGAGGTAAGTAAATTCAACACTTCTCAGACTCACTAATCAACACAATGTATCCGGTGTGTTTAATCAGTACAAACACTTAAGTTTAAATAATGAATACTTGGTGCTTTACATGCTGAGTAGCACATATCTGCACTACAGGAGGCTGCATTTTCAGGATCACATTTCCAGGATCCTTGTTTTTCAAGACAGCACCAACTACTGAACTGGAAAACTAAGGGAGTTGCACGTAATAAAGCCAGGACTGCATTTCTGGCCAAAATGGTTGGCAATTGTAAGCATGCATACTAAATGTGAATAATATTGCATTTGTTTAACATTACAAACAGTTCTGATGTCTTCAGTTGCACAGCAAAGGTATTGATTGCTTGCCCAAGTGTGAGTAACAAATCATGATAATCTGTTGGCTCCATACAAACGATCATCTTTTAGGTGATCATAGCTCGCAGCAAAATGAACTCTAAGTCTGTTTGTTTAATGGAACTTCAGAGGATGTTAAAGCATATCATACAATAATGTTCAATGTGAGTGCTTGTTTATTACTCAATGTTCTATCATTTTATTTCATTTTAAATAATGTCAGCAGTTGTATTTCTCTGTCTCTCTCTCTCTCTCGTTCTCTACAGTTCTGTGTGGATGGTTGTTATTGTACCCCCCAGAATCGTCCTTGTTTCTTGCCTCTCTCCAACCTTTCAAAAATGTTTGACATCTAGAGACTACAAATATCACAGCTTACGATTTTATTATTTAGAACTGAAAATGACTTGGTTATGCTACTTACTGCAAATTATGTTCATTTGTCCAACATGCAAAAACAGGAAGTAATAACAGGGGGAATAAAACCCTAAAACCATAACTAGTTATATGAAACCTTAAAAACTATTCAACCTTGTCACATAAAAAACAAGGGACCTAAATATGCGATTCTGAAACTGCAGCCCCTTGTGCTGCAAACGCACAATATTGTACTGTATATGCCAGATTATTTTTTGGCAAGGCCCAGACTCTTCCTAGATGTACACTAGTTGCCTGGCAACTGCTCAGAGACGTGAAGCAGTCTGACACATAAAACCAGTAACATTATGAAATGTAATTCTTACAGCCTTCTAAATGCTAACTTAACAAATAGGATCACGTGTTAATTATTCAGCTTCAGAGATGCTGGTAGGTGAATTTTGCCTCGTTTTAGTGCTAAGCTGAGCTGCTTGACTGCAGGCTGTTGCTTTACATTTCCGCTGCACTCATGACGGTGGTGTCAAACTTTTCAGCCAACTCTCAGCAAGAAAGAAAATAAGCACATTTTCCAAACTGTCAGATATTAATATTTCTACTTTTTCTTAAAAACAAGCATCTGTTTTCTGGCAGTCGAGAACACATGAGTAGGTTTATTTTTTTGTAGGGCATCAGAATCTAGGAGAATATCACTGTTGTTGTTCTAAATGTTCAAAAGAAAAATGATTTAGATCAAGCTTTTTATAAACAGTTGCTTTGCTTAAAAAAAAGGTAAAAGAATCATATATATTTTACATTATTACTTGTAAAATTTTGAATAAGGACTACTTTGGAAGCAGCTTATGTTACGTAAAACAACATTTTACTGCGGCTCATAATTTCACATAAGCGTGGACTTGTAAGTAATAAATTCATTTGGACGCCTCCTCTCAGCTTTTCCTGCCAGAGATAACCACCTGCAGAAATGTACATCAAAAACTTTCATCGTGACCAATGCGATTACCCTTCCCCATGTTTCCCTGTTCCTGTTTCATGGCAGATCTGTAGGCGTTTGCCCTCTATGCCTGAAAGCAGCTGCCTGGGTGGTCATGGGACATATTTAGTGTTTTTCCGGTGCAGGAACACAACCAGGCCATTAGCAGCGAGAATTTCTCTGAAGTCGTCAGACTTTGATGATGTGTGCCCACTCATTCTCCCCCCAACCCTCCTTCCTATTTTTCTTGCCTCTGCGTATCTTCCTCTCCTTTGTGTGTTTGCGTGCGTTTTATTTGCTGTCACTTAGTCTTTGTCTGAACCGCTGTCACTCCAGCACTTCTCTCTCTCTCTCACTGTCTCCCCCACATGGTTATGTTTGCCTCGGCCAAGCCTCCATATTGGCTCGTATGAGTTGGCTTGTTAGTTTACGTCTTGTTGGCGTGTTTGCTGACGTTAACCTTCACACGTGTTGTTTGTAGAGGATGAACTGAGACTCACACCCTGACGTCAGAGGGCCCAGCCAGGAAACAAAAAGGACAAGAGACTTTCAGAAGTTTGAAACAAACTCATTGCTCTTCAATGCTGAGTATTTACCCTGACAAACAATATAAAACCAACAATAAACAGCAGACGGCGCGGTGCTGCAGACAACGTGACAACTGACCCATCTCATCCATAATTAAAGAACATAATTTGCAGTCCTGTTGCAGCATCGAGATCCCACAGTTAAGCACGTGAAAACCTGCAGCTCCAGATAATTCACCAAAAAGAAGACCAAGGCAAACCAGAAAGATGAGGAGATCCTTGCACTATGTGAAAAAATCGTTTTTAGTGGAAGCACAGACTATTCTTAAGGAAGCAGTGAGACTTTGTCATGACTTTACCCACTGAGCAATAATGATCTCATTGCTAGTGTGAGAGTCACTGGATAAATTGTTACCAAAAGGGCAAGAAGGGCATCCAAAGCAATTATGAAATATCAAAAAACAATAGCTTTAGGAGAAGAAAATGAGTCTGCCTTTAACTCATGCAGTTTCTTTTATATAACTGGCCTTCAATTCTTTTTTTTTTTTTTTAAATAAGCCAGAAAGCTGTAGAATCGAATGCTCATGTTATTCTTCCACGACATCTCTGCTAAAGTCCTGCACAAACAACCAATTACAGTAAACTGTAGCACCTTTAAATTGTATATAAAATACAACAATGAAATACTTAATCTAAAATTAGTTGTAATAACTTTGCACAGACTTAACATTTATAACTTATATAATTGCTTATACCTTTCAGATCCATCAGAGCCAATAGACCTCATTGATAATTTGAGCTACTGCTAGAGTGTTCATGAAACTCAGCAAATTAACTCTCTGTAGAAACATAATTTGTATATTAGCAAACTTAGATTGAGAATTAAACTAACATGATGAAAACTTGCTATGTGTCTTCTAATGCATAGATCACATCGACCAGCCACAACGTTAAAACCACCGACAGGTCAAGTGCGTAATATTGGTCAGCTTATTACAATGCAATGTTCTGCTGGTGAACTCTTAGTCTATCCATTTATATGGATGTTACTTGGGCACATACCACCCACGTAAAATCTACAACCTCCTATGGCGACAGTACTCCCAGACACCAGCAGCCTCCCCCAGCAGGACAAAGTGAAAAAAAAACTGCTCAGGATTGGTTTCAGGAACAAACCAAAGGTGGTGATCTGACCCCCAACTAGCCAGATCCCAACGTGATTCAGCATCAGGGTGCAACAAGTCCAATCAACGGAGGCCCTGCCCTTTAACCCACAAGACCTTAAGGATCGTCTGCCAACATCCCAACACCACAGGACACACCGAGAGGCTCAGGGTCCATGGTCTGATAGATTAGAGCCATTTTGGCAGCACAAAACAGACTGACACAATATAAGGCAACAGTAGCATACTACAAGTAAAGACCTGACACTTCAGACTATAAAAAATGTAAAAGCAAATGTGACTGCAACATTTGTAGTGTGACTTAACATGTCACACTACAATATTGTCAATGTGTCAATATTTTGAGTGAATGCAACTTCTTTGGTCATTAATAATTTATGAACCAGCCATTATGCTCAGTTAACTCACATTTTCAAGGCTGCAGAAGAGCTTATGCTTTGAGTGTTTCACCATGAACATCGACGATGTTTGTCCGACAATAAAACATCATAATATGCCTTCATCAGCCCAATCGTCCTAAAGCATTGAGAGATATGATGCAGCAGGTGCAGCAAATACACACAAAAAAAGGCCGGAATTAATGAAGGAAGGATTTGCTTTCTGGTGTTGTTGTGTGTGCACAGAAATATCCATGTGCATGCAAGAGCATTTGTAACATGTGGAGGCAGCCTGCTCCATGCATCCGGCCTTGAGTCACTTCGAAGTAAAAAAGGAGAGCGGGGTGAAGACAGGGCACATATGTCCGGCAGCCTGTCCGCTCCACTGAAGGGTTACGCACACAACTAAAAATACACTGCAACAGACTGCAAAGAAAGACTGGGCGCCAAGGAAGCACTTGAGATTTGATGTATCTATTTGCCTGATCTGATTCAAAATGAGGAAAAAATATAAAGCCATAGGACGACAAAAAAAATTATTAACAAAATGCCCAAAAGTGTGAGTTGTGAGTCGGTTAACAAGAGAACAAAAGAACAGTGATTAGATGATTAGATGAGCGGATGTGAGTCAGCCGCTCCGCCTCGCTTTAGAAGGTTGTAGTATGTTATTTGGCACAGACGCAACTTGTGACGTCGTTCAGACATTTGCTTCATGTGCCCAAAAATGTGACTGCCAATCCACAAACACGGGGATTACTATTCCGGCAATACCATATTTGCTCTTGACTTTGGAGTACTCAAACACATCCGTCTGTTGCTCTACAGAGACTCCACTCATGTTATTTCGGATGCTGTCATATAACTGACCCTCACAAGCCCACATTTGGAGATTATGGAAACCATCAGAGAATATAGGAGAACAACGCATGTGACCTGCATTCATCTGTTCCACTGTTTAAAGAGGACAATACACAGACCTTTATTTGAAACAGCCAGAAGGGAGAAGTGTATCTAGGTTTTAGCAGGATGAGATGACGCACATATGAGACCGAGAATATCAGAGGTCACAACACATTGTCTTTGTGACAAATGTGTTTGTGACAAGCGGCTTCAAAAGAGTTCATTGCGTGCAGCATTTTGTAAAATTGCGATACCATTATAAAATAAAGTCCTTTGGTAAGCTCGAGTTCCTCTGTCACATCCGCCCAACACCTCATCCTGGGGGCGTTGCATCAGCTGATTGTCTTTAGCATCATGTTGGAACACCAGCTTGGATGACATTCTAGAAACGATGACCTGGTGACCAACCAACTCAGGAAGACAAAAAAATTGCTTATAAAACTGTCTTGGCTCAAGAGTAGAAGAGATACTTTTGCACATTTTTAACAGAAAAATTATTACAAACTACAGTTTTAAGAAGCCTGAGGAGCTGCTAGATGATCAAATAATGCTTTGTTTGAATTAGACTGATAGATTAGCTCTCTGTGAATAAACGAAAATGGGGTGACTGGTCTTATATAGTCTAAACAGGCCTAATCTTCCCCTGGCATTTGCTCCTTTGTGCCAAATATTCAAACACAACAGTCTGAGGGGGGAAAAAAAACAACTGAAAAAGCCAGTGGCTGAAACTGACTGTCCTTGAAAAAAAAAAAGGTTTGTAATGTCTTTGAAAAGACAAATGTATTTTTAAAAATTCAGTTAAAAAAAAAAGAACGGTTTTAGGTTCTGTTTTAGCAATTACCATTTCACTTTATTTTCAGTGACTTTAAAAAGCAAAACCAATTTACCACATTGATAACCTTTCCCCTTTCAACTTTACTAAGAGCAAAGTAATATTTTCATTTTATGTGTTGACATTTTAAACTTCAAAACACAAAAGTCTAGAGCAATCATTCCCAAACTGAATATTGTAGCATTTTACATTCTTATAGCCATAGAAAGCAGTATATCAGTGTTTTCTGTGATGGTGTCATGTTGACCCACTGATTTTTAAGTATGCATGATTAACATTCAGTGTAGTTACATTTTGAAGTAAGACTATTTAAATATATATGGAGTTTGCATGTTCTCCCTGTGCAGCGTGGGTTCTCTCCGGGTTCTCTGGCTTCCTCCCACACAGTCCAAAAACATGTTGAGGTTAACTGGTGATTCTAAATTGTCTGTAGGTGTGAATGTGAGTGTGTTTGGTTGTCTGTCTCTAAGTGTGGCCCTGTGGTAGACTGGTGACCTGTCCAGGGTGTCCCCTGCCTTCGCCGAAGTCAGCTGGGATAGACTCCAGCCCCCCGCGACCCTAGTGAGGATTAAGCGGTGTATAGATAATGGATGGATATATCTATATATATATATAATAGTTGACATATTATTGGACCAGAAAGACAGACCAAAAAGTTTGATTGGTGATGACGTTTTGGTGGAAGCTTATATTAATGGTTTCGTCCGTCTTGGTACACCCCCCTTCGCCGAACATATTGGTACAGTCGACCTGCGCGCGAAGTTTAGTAACAACAATGGCGTCCAAAGCAGGTGGGTGTGTAGCTTGTTCATTGTAAACAAAACTGTGAAAGTTAGATGTACTGTCAGGATGCAGTACGTTTTATTTCTATTAGATATACAGACACAGCGTGTTAACTCACCTGTTACAACGGTTATGTTGTGTGTAGACTTTCTCTGTAAGCTAATTTGCCATGAAGTTAACGTTAGTTAGCTTCATGGCTAACGGTTCCAATCCAGCATCCAAACTGGTGGAATGTGGTTATTGGTAAAACACAAATTCAGTTGCTGATATAAATCACAGGGAATGTTTAAGCATTTAGTGTAACACTGGTCGGCTGAGCTGACTCGGTGAGTTATTTCAAGTTAAGTTGTGCAATGATTGTAAACAGGAGTGATTTAAAGCTCACCTCTGTTATGAAACCACTCATGTGCTTTCAGGTCGTCGAGGGACGAAGCGCAAAGCGGAAGTTCAAGCAGATGAGAAGCAGCTGTCCGTGGAGGAGAAGAAGGACCGAGGAGAGGAAGAGAGCGGCCTGCAGGGCCAAAGGGTGCTCATTGAACACTGGTGAGTATTTCAATTACATCAGTACTCCTTTACTAAACGAAAACTTTAATATTAAGTGCACAACTTTCAGAAGTAAATGTGTAAGTTTGGGGAAATGTCACTTTAATGACTGAATATAATAATAATTATAATAATGATGATAATCCAGCAACAAAATCTTTTCTGACTGAGCTCTAATTTTGTTTGTCACATTTTGATCTGGAAAGTACAAATTTGACTCTTGACTCTTATGACTCTTGTGCCAAATAAGTAAAGACAATATTATCCTCTAAAATTTTGTTCAGCAGAAGTTTTGTTTAGACAGAGTACTTGTGTGAATGTATGCATCCTTAACATAAACAGTCAAGCACTTGGATGACTTTGAATAGCCTGCGCAGATGTCCACCTCATGGCTAATCTGTTAATTCTGGCAGTAAAAGCTGACGAGTGTATGGGCGTAATGCTGAGGAGGTGAAATCTGCCCTCTTGGCTGCCTGCCCTGACCTGACTGTGGTCCTCAACCCTGAGAAACCCCGAAGGAACAGCTTTGAGGTCACTCTGCTGGATGGAGGCAAAGGTGAGGAGGATGGAAAGGCAAAGCTAAGAATAACTCAGCCATTTGGTGTCCCCAGGGGAAGACCATCATTCTTGCCAAGTCTCACTATCTGAGTTTTTGGAATTTTACCCATTTGTAGTGGCTACCAACATTACTAATGGCAAAACAGTATTTTTCTAACCACCACTTGCCATGCACTTAATATAGTTTTATATGCAGATATTATAAGATACATGTCTAATTAGGTTTAATGTGTACATATATTTGACTATTTTGTTCTTTAAAGAGTTTTGCAATAGTTACTCTTTACAGCACTAATGTCAGTTTTTCTACATTTGTCTTACTTTGCTGCTGTTCTCTGGCTGCTTTAGTGAAACACAAGTGGTACATAACAGCTTATTGATTTTCTATATTGTTCCTCTATGTGATACTGTTCCCTTGCGTCTCTCTCGTAAAGAAACATCTCTGTGGACTGGAATAAAGAAGGGTCCACCTCGTAAACTGAAGTTTCCTCAACCCGATGTTGTTGTTGCTGCTCTGAAGGAGGCTCTGAAGGCTGAATAGATGTCCAGTGAAGGTTTGTATAGGTGTTGAACAGAACATTATTTTATAATACAGAAAACACTAGATATAATATTCAGCAAGTTTGCGCATTCACGCTCAGTAAGTAATTTCATTCAGCTGTAATAAATAAAAAAGAGTACAATGAAATTGGTCAACTCTGTTAGTAAAATGTTTTGTTTGTTTGAGCAGCCAATTGTGGCTGAAACTCACTGCATATATGTATATATGTACGTAGATATGATCACAAGCTTCTGCTGAAGTTCAAACCAACCATCAGAAAGGAGAAGAAATATGAATCAAGTGACTTTGTACATATTATTGTTGTTGGTGCCATATTGGCTGGTCTGAGTATTTCAGAAACTGATGGTTTCCTGGGATTTTCACACACTGCCATCTGGAGTGTTTACAGAGAATGTTCAAGAGAAGACAAAGTCTTCAGTGATTGGCAGTTTTAAATGTCTTGCTGACGGAAGAGGTCAGAGAAGAATGAACACTCTGATTTAAGCTGATAGAAAGGCAAAAACTCAAATATCTGCTTGTTCCAACCAGGGTATGCAAAACACATAAAACCTTGAAGAAGAATGCTGTAGCAGCAGAAGATCATGTCGGGCGCTGTTTGTGTTAGTTAACAGAAAACTGACGCTACAATTCGCATGGACTCGCTACAATTTAACAATAGAAGGCTGGATGAATGTTGCTCAATCTCTGCTGTGACATTTAGATGTTGAGATCCAAATATGGTGTAAACAATATACAATCATGGATCCGTCCTGTCTTTTATTAACAATTCAGGCTGATAGAGTTGGTTTAATGCTGTGTGGGATGTTTTGTTATGTTTCCGGTACCTTGAAATGTCACAAAGAATTGTGGCAGTTCTGAAGACAAAATGAGGTATAATCCCATACTAGTATATTCTTTGAGGGAAAAAACCAGACTGCGCTGAGCTTGGTTTGGAAATATCAGTGTTGTTTAGATTGTTGACTGTATGTGTTGAAATTGGATACATTAAATGCTAAGTATAACATTTATTGTTGCCTGCCTGCCTGATTTGTGGATAAAAGTTGACTTATGTTTTTTTAAAATATATATATAACTGTAACCTTGTACTGTTTTTACCACTAATTTACAAAATGCTTCAAATGACCAATTTCTTTGTATTCAGGTTTTGCAACATATTACAAATGCACAGAAGGCAGATTATACAGACATTTGCTTGTTAAGTGTATATTTTATCATGAACTTAGCTCAGCCTAATTACTCTTTGCTCATGGCTTGTGTTAGGATACTGTGTATACAGCTGATACTGTTAAATATTTTCCTGAATTCACTGTACCCTTACTTACTTTATATTCCATATTTTCCCAGAGCATTGCATCACAGCATGAAGGAATTGATACTTTGCCCACCTTTAGTTACTGAACTGCAGCTCTGAATCCCTCCATTATATACAAGATGAAATCTGCTAGTGTGAAAATATAGCACAGGTCACAGTTGGCTCACATACCTTTAAAATTTGTCAGGCTACTTACATCTGAATATTAACTGGTGAACATGTGTGAATTGGGTTTTTAAGTAAACTCTAATTTATTTATTTTTTTTAGCTTAATCAAAATTTCAACAGTAGTATGCAGAAAGTGTTGTGCAGCTGGTGGTTAACAGTGATCTTGCAGAAGTATATACAGTAAGCACTCTACAAATAGTGTGATTTAACAGAACCTTTCATGTTTTATTTGCAGCCGTGCATTCAGGAGATGTGGCTGGTGGAAGCAAAATGAAGAGGAGTGACCAAAGAGATGTTCTCAGTCCCTCCTCTGATGAGCCAGGCTCCAACTGCTGTCATCTGCTGGATACATAGTGACACCTAGTGGAACGTCTATGATCCGATACATTTATCAGATGCACCGTCCAGCTTGTTTTCTTTAGTGTGTTCTCTCTCAGTTCCTTAAGGTTTAATGTATATTTCTATCTGTTTTTGATAAATAAAGTTTATTGTAGCTATTAAGTGGATGTGTCTTTACTCTTGCCAAGCAGAAATCAGTGTCATTCAGGATTTATGGTGACGGGTGGAAAAGCGTCCTAGAAGGAATTTTTACTGTACTAAATTGGATGAGTTGATACAGACATAAATGTATCCTGATAACTCTGTGAAATCAAAAGTTTGGGTTCACTTTTGAATGAATAAAAGTTAAAGACAGAGCTATCAGCATTATATTATGAGTGAGTTCTCTAATAAATATTTTCATGAGATGAAAGTTTTGCAATATTTGAGACACAGCGTGTGTAGCCTTTATGTTGTAATACGGTGCAAAAAACGTTTTCTTGGATTTATGTTGAAGGGTAGAGAAGAGGTCCAATGAATATTTGCTTTATTTAATTGGATGACATGATAAAACTATGTGCGTATTCTGTTTAAGCTATGAAAACATGTATTGATGTCCAAACTCCGATACCCTCTCAAACACCACTCCAGGGAAAATCAAGCTGTTTTTTTTGTTGTTTGTTTTGTTGTTGTTGTTTTTTTTTTTTTTTTTACCTTCTTATGAAAGTGTTTTCATATGCTACCGGAGGCATCATAAATGAAATGAGCAGCCAACGGAATGGCGAAACTGTAGTGTCCATTAACTCCTGCTGCGGTGTCATAACGAATTTACGATCGGCTTGTTAAATAACTATGTAATTTCAGCAATTGACAGCTATTTTACATAAATAAAAAATAGCATTTTTTTCTCAACGGAAGCATGCGTTTGAATGCTATTGGCTGTTGAGGGAGTGACCTCATCATAACGCGACCAACTACGACAACGGCCCCTCATGCGAAGTGAACTTATTTTATTTCTACAATAAGGCTTGAAATTGATCCGTAAGTATCATACATTAAAAAATAGTCAATCCGTACACATTTGTCATACTATACAGGAAATGTTAAGTGTGTTTCGGAGCATTTGAACGCAACCTTTCCGCCTTTGCTCCAGTGAGTAATTCTAATTCAGCTGCGGCCTGCTAACAACTAGCTGGTTTGTTTGCTAGTTTTGTGCTGAACTCTGTTTACACTTTGACATAGCTCATAGATGTATTATGTGTTTTCCCCTACTTTTACCTCGACCTAAGTTTTCTTTTATGGTGCTTAACCAAAACCAGTTATTTTTGTTGCACGTAACTATAACTAAACTTAAGCTCTAGCCCTGACTGTACTGCAACTAACGATTAGTTTAATCATGCATTAATCTGTCGATCATTTTTCTCGACTAATCGATTAGTTATTTGATCTAGTGATGAAAAATTTTGATCAGTGTTTCCCAAGTCCAACAGGACAAATGTCTTAATTTGTCCACAACCCAAAGATAGTCAGTTTACTGTCACGGAGGTGTAAGAAACCAGAAAATATTCACATTTAAGAGGCTGAAATTAGACAATTTAGATTCTTTATGTCTTAAACAGATAACACACATGGTAATTGATTCTCAAGATAATTGGTCAATAGTCAAATGATTGACAGCTAATCAATTATTCGTTTGATTGTTGCTACTCTAAACTCCAATTAAGGAGGTAGGGAAACCCCAAAAGAAGAGACTTAAGCAGACAACCTCGATTGCAATAATTATATACTGTAGAGATTTACAGTAATTATATCCCTTTTGTTCTTTATCTTTAACTGTATGTGTATGATTAAGTCTACCTTACATTTTGTAAATATCATTCAAATGCCACATAAAAATTAGAAATTCAAATATGAAGCATAACAGGTGCATTTTTATTGTACAGCAATTAATTGTGGATTACTTTATTTGACGATGCATAATTATTCTCTGCTGCCATTTTTTGCCTGTTTCTTTTGTAAAATAGATGTCATAGTTGAATAAGAGTAAATACAAGTTCTTGAACTTTGTTGCTCAACTCTGACATGCACTTGTCAGTATTATTAACATTTTATAGGGTCAGTGATTGCTCATAAAGAAATGTTTTTATGCAAGTAGAAAATGCTCTTTAATTTTTATTGCCGTACTTCAGATACTGTCATAAAGTGTATAATGTTGTGACACTGTATTGTAAATGCATCTAACATTTTTCTTTCAATATGCTGTTTTTGGCAAATATTTATAACCTAGAGTTTGTTTTGTCAGTCATGGCAACAGAAAGTGTGGAAAAGACCAGTGAAGACGTTCCAGTAGCCGGGAAGGTCAGCACAAGATATGACCTGGAGAAGGAGACTGAACTTCGATTTGAGGTTGAGGCAGGGGAGGCAGCGGAGCAATTGGAGCTGGAACTCCTGACAGGAATGGCTGAGGTGTTTGGCTCAGAGCTGAACCGCAACAAGAAGTATACATTTGGACCTGGTTCGAAGATTGCAGTTTTTACCTGGCAAGGTTGCAGTGTGAATCTTTATGGGAAGCCAGAGGTAAGTACCTGGATGAGTCTATGCAAATGTGTAAAAGTATAAATATGTCTGTTCTGAGTATAATTTAACAATGGAATATGTATTGGTTTCACTTTTAACACTGTATTGCTTTTTCCATTTAACTTAATGAATAAAAGGCTCAAATAACCAGTGTCTCTCTATCATCACCACAGGTGGCTTATGTGTCCAAGGATACGCCCATGCTGCTCTACCTGAACACACACGCTGCCCTGGAACAGATGAGAAAACAAGCAGAGCGGGACAATGAAAGGGGGCCAAGGGTAAGTTTGATTAAGGAACGACTGCTTTCAGTGGCCTCTATCTGTAAGCTTGTCAGATCCCAGTAAATGCATTTTACATAAACACTGAATAATTAATCGGCCCTCAGGTGATGGTGGTGGGACCTACAGACGTGGGGAAGTCGACAGTCTGCCGGCTGCTTCTTAGCTATGCTGTCAGGGTTGGCAGGAGGCCAACGCTGGTGGAGCTGGATGTGGGACAGAGTGGGGTAAGATGAACTGGAGTTGTTAGAATAAACATTTAACCAGTTTACAGATAATAGAATAGCATTTGGTGATATTTAAATGATTATACACCATTGTGTGCAGGCTGAATCATCTTGGATTTATACAAACTGAAACTACGGCATGCTTTAATGTAATCTCTTTTTTGTTTTGCTGATTCATCTCTTGGTCAGTGAAGATTTTACAGTATAGTCTGCTCATATGACTTTTTCTGTCAGTCAGAGATACACGTTCTAGAAAACACTGCACTCTGTATTAATAACAGTAACAATAAAGAAATATATAGTATCTTAGTAGTGACACTAATGTTCTTTCAAGTCATTGCAGTCATTATGAGAAGACAAGAACTGAAAACACTGGCCTACTGATTGTGACTTGTGGTTGATTATCCTTCATATGGGATGGAAGTGTTGGGAAAAAAAATAGCTGAGTGACACTGGTAGAGTAAGGAGATTGATAAATGCAGAGTTCCAGCAAGAGTATTTATTTGTGCTTTTTATTTATAATGCAGCATCAAAAGAAGAAATCAGGTCAATGTTTGTGAATTACACCGGAAGCTGTTCTAAATGTGACACTCATATTTCACAACCATTGCCGAAAGGGCACAAGTTGCCTAAGTTGTGGCCTATGCTTTATTTCCCAACTTCACTGAGTACAACAAATGTGAACGCTGTAAACAGGAAGGAAATTAAAACAATACTTATTTATAGCAGGATACAGACTGAATTATTTTGTTCATGTGATGCAACAGTACTGGGTAGCTGTACTAGATGATCGTTTTTGCTGTTAAATTTGGGTTGTGAAAGTGTCCAATGCTTCAAGTAAGCCTTCATTATGCTGTCGTTACTAGTATAAGGTGTAAAAGAGCATTCTGCTCCTTTAGGTGTCTGTACCTGGGACAGTGTCAGCGCTGTGCATCGAGCGTCCTGCAGATGTGGAGGAGGGTTTCTCAGTCCAGGCTCCACTGGTCTACCACTTTGGCTCCACAACTCCGGGGACCAACATCAAACTTTACAACAAGGTGAGAGGAAAGATTCTACACCTTTTTCTAACATAACTATGAATTCAAACTGCAAGTTTATCAAGTGCTGTCATCACTTATGTTGTTTCTTTCTGCCCACTGCAATCTTATTTTCTCATTAAGCTGACGTCCTGCCTGGCCGAGGTGTTTTCCCAGCGCTGTGAAGTGAACAGGAAGGCCAGTGTGGGAGGCTGTATCATCAACACCTGTGGCTGGGTGAAGGGTTCTGGATACCAGGCTCTGGTTCATTGCGCTTCAACCTTTCAGGTGGATGTGGTGCTAGTGTTGGACCATGAGAGGCTCTACAATGAACTCAAGCGAGACCTCCCTCACTTTGTGCGGGTTGTGCTCCTGCCAAAGTCCGGGGGAGTGGTGGAACGCTCCAAGGAGTGCCGGCGGGATGCTCGGGATGAGAAAATCCGTGAGTATTTCTACGGCTTCCGTGGAGTGTCTTTCTACCCTTTTTCATTTGAAGTGCGTTTCTCAGACGTCCGCATCTACAAGATCGGGGCACCGTCCATCCCAGACTCGTGCTTGCCACTGGGAATGTCTCAGGACGACACGCAGCTGAAACTGGTGCCAGTGACACCAGGCAGAGACCTCACGTATCATGTGCTGAGCGTGAGCAGTGCCGAGGACGGAGAGGAAGGTGCGAGGAAGGGTATAGTGGAGAGTCCAGTGTGTGGCTTTATTGTGGTAACTTACGTAGACACTCAGGCACAGGTGATGAAAATTCTGTCTCCAGCACCCAGACCACTGCCCAGACATACTCTGCTTATCATGGACATCCGTTTCATGGATATGAAATAAGGCACCACCTTGGGGATGAGGACTCTGGATTAAGTTGTGGATCATTTTCGGGATGGTTCTGTTGGATTTTAGTTTCCGGGTTATCTTCTTTGTTCTTTGTACATACTACAGAAAGAATTTTTGAACATTGAAATTGGTCGCGGTTGTATTTTTTAGCCCATTTAAAAGATCTGATGTCTTTAGAAGGGGATGTTTTTATCAATATAGGAATATTTTTCTTGATGATCTGTTTCATAAACATTGTTTCACTCTTGAGAAATAAATTTTTCATGTAAAAAGTTATGTGTTTGTGTTAATTATACTAACTTTCATGGTCAGTACATTTTCCAATCAAACAACAGTTACGTTTATTAGCATATATCCAATACGTAAGGGACAGGTGATGGAAAAACGTTCGTGTGTCTGAACAAAATTACAACCTAATCAAAGCTTTGGAAAGTCTGGGAAAGCTTTAAGATTTCAAAACCTTTCCTATTTTGACAAACTGTCATCCAGCAATATTTCTTAATATGTGTGTCAAGTGGGAGACCTGTCTTGCCCTCTATATTGTATACACCCCGCAGTGTTCATTGTGTCTGTTTTGTAAAAAGTAAGGCAAAGGACACTAACCTGTAGGCCACATTGTCACAGACACACACTACCAGTATGACAGTTTTGCAGCACTGCAACAGGAGCTCATTAGTTGTTTGATTTGTAAACAGATGACAGCACCTTGTAGACCTCATGAAGTGTTGTTTCAACTCGTATGCTGTTTTATTTTTCACATTATTAACATGTACCTATTCCAAATATGACGGCAATATGAATAATACAAGTGGGACACAACTCACCAGAATACAGTAATAGTGATGAATGTAACAAATTGGGTTACATAATGTTTGGTACATGTTTTTGCAGTTGGTAGCACTGTTGCCTCGCAGCAAGAGGGTTGCCAGTTCGCGTCCCGGTGGGGGCACCGGAATCTTTCTTCTCCCCATGCAGTGTGGGTTCTCTCCGGGTTCTCCGGCTCCAAAAACATGTTGAGGTTAATTAGTGATTCTAAATTGTCCGTAGGTGTGAATGTGAGTGTGCTTGGTTGTCTGTCTCTAAGTGTGGCCCTGCGATGGACTGGTGACCTGTCCAGGGTGTCCCCTGCCTTCGCCCTGAGTCAGCTGGGATAGACTCCAGCCCCCCACTCCATACCAACTACAGCCACCACAAAAATATTTAATCTTATGAGTATTATTCACCCTTTGACTATAAAACATCAAGCTTTAAGTTCATTATACAGTTCTCCAAGGTACGTCACAGATTGGTTGTTTCAAACAATGAAGAAACAGCTTTGTTTACAATATTAATATTGCTGAGTATTAGTCTTGCTCCTTTGTTGTCATTGTGAGGTATAATTTCTACCTCCTTTGTATTAACTGCACAACTCATTTAAAAAAAAATCTTATTTCGTATTCCCTTTTATAGAAAAGATTAACTGTAAATGTGTAGCAAGGATAATATGTGTGTTGTTTCAAAGTGCTGTAGTTTTTGTCAGTTTTACTCCGACAAGAGAGCGATTCTTGTCATCTGGTCACAGCACATGAAAAAGCACATTCTGACATCAGCTGGTTATCTTCTGGATCATGTCAAGCCTGTTTTAAAGAACCTTGTCTGACAGTAATCGAAGTTTGGAGCAGCACATAACAAAGCTTCTACAATCCTGCTTTTATCATGCAAAACATGTTTTAAAAATGCAGTTTAGTTTAACTTTTAAAGACAAAGTTTATTTTAAATGCTTTTATTTCATCAGGTTTGGATTGCTGCAACAGCCTTTTTACCTGCCTGGACTAAAAATGTTTTGGTCAGACCCAGAATGCATGTTTTACATGTTTAGGATAGATATTTAGATTTTACTGATTATGTTTAAGGCCCCTCACGGCATCTCTCCTGTATCTCTGACCTTTTAGTGCTGTACTTTGAGATCCTCGGGGAGAGGTATTTTCTCTGCTCTTTGGGCTCGCCTGAAAGAGAACAAAGCATTTGCAGTTGTATTGTTTGTTAGACAGAATGTAGTGCGATTCATTTGTCTATTAAAATTATGATTTTATGACTTGTTTTTTTGTGAATCTTTTAGTTTGCTGCCAAGTCCACACTTTGTAACTTCGATTTTGAAAAGTGCTCTATACATAAAGATTTTGTTATTGTTGTTGGTCAATTCCTATCCAGAATCAAAGACGACACTGCTTCTGAATGTAACTGGTTTTAACTGTGTTGCTTATTTTGTTGTCTCCTTGATTGTTGTCTTTTTTTTCTTCTTTATTTTGTATTGGGTTGAATGTACTCTCTACAGCATTGTAAATGAGGGCTTCCCTCAATGATTCCTCGAGATTTTAATAAAGGTAGAATTATGATTATTTTTATTATAGTTATCACAGTAGTTCAGTACTTGACCACCATACAGTGTTAAAGCTGTTCACAAGGCCACACCCCCCTCGGCCTCTGATTGGCTGTTGGTCCCACCTGAGGGACGACAGACTAGTTCCGGGATTCCGATGTCGGCCTAGCAGGCGAGCTAAGTAGTTTGCTAGCGGCTAACTCAAGGAGGACCGAAACGACCCACACCCTACAGGCAAGACAGCTCGCTTCTTCGGTATTAGGTGCGTGTTTTACTCTCTCTTTGTGGCGACCGTTTATCTGAAAGTAGCTACAGTTGTCTCGTCAATCGTCAATGAACGCCAGTCCGTCAGAGTAAAGCTTTCATAACTAACGCTAGCTAACTCTTCTAGCTGTGGTAAAGGACTGAGCGGTGTCGCAAAAAAAAAAACTTTCGAGTAAAAGCTCACAGAGTGATTACTAAGTATGACTGGTATTTAAACCCCTTATTATCACTCGCTTGAACTGAAGCATCACAGAGTCCGTTAGTTTGAAACAGTGGTGTGTGTTGTAATGAGGTTCATGGTGGTGTGAGCAGATTATGGTAACGTTAGTTGTCTTGACTGAATCCTAGCACTGCTCTGGCCTGCTGTTTAATGCCTCTTTTAACGTACCACTGAAAGATGAAATTATGGCCAGTCTTGTGGTACAGATTAAAGACAGATATCAGAGAGCAGCTGTCAGTGTGTCCATATCGCTTGGTAAATGGATTAAATTCGCCCCACCGGCCACTTAACGGTGAGGCTTGCGAGGTGTAGATTGTTGCGGTGACATGACAGGCAAGGCTCGACACGGAGATTTTAGGATTAACATCCATTATAGTCGGGGGGATTTGTTGTGGGGCAGATGAGATGATTAACAACAAGCAGACTAACACTCTGTCTCGACTACAGCTCTTTATTTGTTAGCACGGATGATCGTTGAAAAGAGGGGTGTGTCCAAACTATCAGATTACACTGTTACTCCAGATCCGTTTTCAGTGTGTTCACGGACTTGTTTTTCATCAGGAGATGAGGGGAAATTAGCATGATGTGTGTGTGTGTGTGTGTGTCAAAGGCGTCGAGGCTCGTCACAGATCGCTGTCTCCGTGGTGTTTTGAATTTACAACAGTGGGAAGTGTTTCCTTTGACCACCTGAGGGCATTGAAGTGACAGCTGTGTGTTTAAGAGCAGCAGGCTGTTGAACAACTCTCTTATGAGTAATGGTGAAAAGTGCACACTCACACTCTTTTTATACGTGAGTTTTAGGAGAACAACGGCTTAGTTAGTCAGTCTGATTGTTGTGAAATCAGAGTGAAACCTTTGCTCCTGTCAGATAATTTAATTAGAGCAACGTTATCTAACGTACTGAGGAAATTATTTTTTTCCCTGAGACTTTATGAGCTAAGTGAAACATGGCAATTTTCATGCATTAATGGTTTATTATTTTGTTATTGTAGACGCCTGTGTTCTCCATTATATGTAAGCTATTTATATTAACGAGCTAGTAAATGACTTCTTCTATATTAAATCATGCCAGATTCTAGGGCGGAACAGTCATTTGGAATATTACTGAAACCACAGTATGCAAGGTAAAATGTGTCACAACATACTATTACAAATGAAGCAGTGTGGTGCTACAGAGATGTCTTGGCCTACAAATCATATTCTCCAGACACATTAGAACATGATTGTTTGGCATAGACAGCAGCAACATGTTTTCATGGAAAAGTAGTCTAGCTACATTTCACACATTTTCTCCTCCTATTCTGCTATCTGCATGTTATCGTTGTCGAAATCCTCTTTACTACTGGAAACAACAGTAACCTCTGAGCAGCAAACCTACCACACAAAAAAAATCAGTTGTTGCTGAGGATTTGGATCAAGCACCACAACAATCTTGCTAGTTTTAAATTGTTTAATGTCACACTAAAAAGAAAAAACTTGAACCTGCTGTGTGCGGACACCAGGATGCATATTATTTAATTAATTATAAATTATACATTTTTTCTATATTTTTGGATGCTGCTGTGGCCTGTAAATTTTCCAGGTCTGGGATAAAATAAAGTATATTCTATTCTAAAACAATCCCCCTGACCCTATTTTGAGAGGGCATTGTCACTGCATCATCGGCTCAATACCACACAATGCGACTGTGAAAGATTTAAAGAAATACAAACATACTAGAGAGTTTTGTCCTCTATATACAGAATCATAATGGGGTGCACCCGGACCATTCTGCAGGGCGCTGTGTCAGGGCTAGAGGGTGACCTAGCTATGTAAGACCAGTGGAAAAAGAAAAGAAAAAATACCATTTCCACAAAAATGGAGAGTCATATTGCACATATATTGCTTGTCAAAAATAATTACAATGAGCTTTTTTTGTATGTCGGTTAGCCTTGCCAGATCCCAAAATTATGTTTTCAAATGTTTTATTATGTTACCAGCAGTCAAAACCCCAAAGATTTTTGATATATTATCATGTAGGACAAAAAAAAAAAGAAAATAAATCTGTACAAAGAAGAAGCAGGAACTGGAGAATATTCACTATTTATGCTTTAAAATGTACTGGTTATCGATTAGATTACCATTGGATTCATTTGCAGTTCATTGGTACTCATTTCAGCCGTAAGTGTTTGCAACATGGATTCTTGTTTACTGATGTTTAGCTCATTCACAGTTGTTTGATTATTATTTTGTTTCTTTTTTTTTTTTTTTTAACAGGGGCATCGAGGAACTTACCCACAGAGCCAAGGGGTGAAAGAAGACAGGCAGCCAAAGATTAAAAAGGACTAAAATGTATCAAACTACATAACATCCACACTGCACATGGCTTTCTTTAAGAGGTGCAGAATGGGAAAGGAGGTCTATCTGCAAAGAATTTGGAGGTGGGAGAGCAGGCTACACCCAGACCCAGCCAAGTGCGGTTACACCTTGGTGACATACTCTGGGCTTCTTTATGGAATGAGTTGATTTTGTCCCCATATTGACACAGAGACTGAAGACAGGGGTCTCAAAAGATCCAGGGGACTCTGCTTGGCCATCGGACCTATTTTATTTGTAAAGGCAAGACGAGACATCTTTTGTTTTGTTTTTTGTTTTTTTTAGCAGCTTTTTAAAAAATAAATTCCAGCTGGACTTTTCTTTGATGTTAAGCAGCTTCCCACAACTGGCTTAAAAGTGAATTTGTTTGTTTAGTTGTTTTCCCCTGCTGCTGACTTGGTTTGAAATGCTGGAACTGTCCCTCCTGCCGTCATCCTCAGTTTCTTCCACCCACCCAGTGCCTAAATAAGCCCTCTCGGGACTATCACAGAAGTCATCAGCAGCTGCTGCTCTCAATCCTCTGCCTGTTCTCCTCCATGTGCTTCTGCTCTCGGCCTGCTGGCTCTCCACCCACTACCTCTTTAATTTTCTGGTCTTTTCTCTCTATATTCATTTTCTTTGAGAGCGATAATCACAGCTCAAGTAATGTAAACACTGAGTTTCAGTAGTGGAGAGAAACCTAGACAGCTCCAGTGTTGGTTGTGTGCACAAGTGTCTGTCCTTTTGTGTATATGCACAGCAGTGTTACTGTTGCACTGGCGCCAAGGAGCAGTTAAAGATTAGATTTATTTATATTGTTGCACCAAATACAGTTAAGCCATACAAAAATATTTATGAAATTACCTACATGTATTTTTGTATCACATTGCTCTTGTATAGTTTTGCTTTTATAAGCTTCTATTAAGATTATGCATACAAATTAAATATTTACATGCAAGTAGAGCTGTATATTGCTGTATAAAAACATCCCCTGGTTTTTAGTAATTAAATTATTGCCGGGAGATATTTAGAGTCTGCGCACAGAGAATCCCTCATGTTTCCTTTCAGTTGCTGCTTTGCATAGTGTTTGTTTTCTTTTCCAGTCTGTAGTCATGGCCCCTCCTCCCAGACAAACACTGTATTCTCCGTGTTGACTGGTAAAGGCCCCTTTACAGTAGGTAGACAGTAGATATCTACCTCTCTCTCTGTCTTCTTCTATCTGTCTCTGATGCCGGGCTTCAGTGGTGGGGGGGTTGGGGGAGGAGTAGGTGGCCCCGCTTCTGCTCCTCCCCGTCCGTTTCGACCCAGCCGATACGTTCCGGTGTCTGCAGCCACCACTTTCCTCGTCGGATCCACAACCCTCTTCTTCTGCTTCACGTGAGTGTTTCTTGGTCTATCTCACATTATGCAAACACACTTTCACATTAAGTAAACATTGTGCCACAAGGCCTACATGGATTTACACAGAGGTGTGTTGCTGTACTAATAATCTTTGTACACATGTGTGTTTGCTAAAGTCTTGTGTAAATATCCAGCCACATTAATGTTTCTACTGAGGATATGCTGCTGATTTTTTAGTTTGTTTAATCGTTGTTTAATTAGAGAAAGTTTAGTGCACACAATTGCCCTCTTTTCAGCCCCACTTGGCCACAGTTTCTCACAATCGCACCTGCAAGCTCCTCTTTTACAATCACAGCATTTCATTTGTAGCCTCTGAGTATCTTCAGTGGAGCTCTTTGTGGGTAAACTGCCCTGCACAAAGGCTCATTAGCAGTTAGTGATGGAGTGACCATTTTCCCGTCTGTATCTTGCCCACAATTGCAGGGATTTCAGCATGCTTGTGTAACTGTAATTTTGTTTCCATCTTTTCTAAAACCTCCCAGGTGCCCGTGGTTGTCAGAGTATTTCTCCTCTGTCATTCCCATCTACAATGCCGTGATCTTCCTCTTCACCCTCGCCAACTTCTGCATGGCCACTTTCATGGACCCTGGAGTCTTCCCCCGAGGTAAACATGTGTCATCTGTGTTTGTGTGAACATTTTTACCCTAGAGAGTTACATCTTACGTAGTAATAATGTGTAGGCAATGCTTTTGTGAACATGATGGGGAAAATATAACATGATGGGGAAAATACAAGTGAAAAGGCTAATCAGTAATGACCATGAGCTTCTGGAAAATTACTGAAACAGCCGCTAACATAATGCAGGGAGACCAAATGATCAGTTACTACGATGTGAGTACAACCTTTGTTTGTGTGTCTGTTGCCTGTAGCGGAGGAGGATGAGGATAAAGAGGATGATTTCCGAGCTCCACTCTATAAGACAGTGGAGATCAAAGGCATCCAGGTGCGCATGAAGTGGTGCTCAACCTGCCGCTTCTATCGCCCGCCACGCTGCTCACACTGCTCGGTCTGCGACAACTGTGTCGAGGTACACACACATATACACACACACACACGTAACATTGTGGACTTTCTGTTTTGTGATTCCAAATTAGAAATGAATTCATTTCACAGTATAATACAAAGGAGAAATTGATGACATTGGGTAATGGTGTGTCATAATCTAGGGTAATTTTTGCTTGTTTACTTTTTATTCTGTTTGTCTTGATAGTGCTGTTCTTATATTTGTCACTTAATAAATGAATGTCACTAGGACACAACTTTGGCTTTATAGTTATAAAAATATGTTATACTATATATCACAGTATCCAAAAACTCTGCTCAAATCATCAGTATATATACCTGTGTGATGTGTCTTTAGGTTTTAATAGCAAGTCCTAATTTCACAGTGAGCTTCAATAAACTCCTGTGTGCCTTGACTGCTTAGCCTCGATCTGTTCTATTCTTAGTTTTCTGTGTTTCCGTGTAGGAGGTAGATTTTGTGTGGACATCTGATTTCCATGCGTTCTAGTTGTTGCTTATCCGTATTATTTTCCTCTTAGTCATAACTTCATTGGTACTTACACCTTCTTGCCTTCTCACCCTGTGCTCTCTCAGGATTTTGACCACCATTGTCCTTGGGTAAACAACTGTATTGGTCGGAGGAATTATCGCTACTTCTTCCTCTTCCTATTATCTCTTACCACCCACATCATAAACGTATTTGGCTTTGGCTTGGTTTATGTCCTGCACCACCGCCAGCAGCTCGACACGCCACATGCTGCTGTTACGTATCCTTTACTTGGTCCTCTGCAGTCATAAAAACCCACAACACATTATGGGATTTCCTTTTCTTATGTCATTTACATGGTGGTATGAAACAGAGTGTTGTTTTGCCTTTTCCTTGACTCTCTCCTTACAGTATGGCTGTGATGTGTGTGGCTGGTCTGTTTTTTGTACCAGTTGCTGGCCTGACTGGGTTCCACATAGTGCTGGTGGCCCGCGGTAGGACCACAAATGAACAGGTACGTACAAGGGCTGGTTTGCTTGCATCACACCCGGCATCACTGCATTTAATCAGCCACATTTTTTTCTCTTGATTGTGTTGCTATCTATATGGGTTGAAAACATGTAAAAGTAAGCATGACTGCTGTTCTTTCTTCCCACTGTAGGTGACAGGGAAGTTTCGAGGAGGCGTTAACCCCTTCACCAACGGCTGCATGAGGAATATTTCACATGTGCTCTGCAGCTCCCAGGCGCCCAGGTCTGTTTATTTCCTTCCTTTAACACTCTGTTCTACAATTATTCTTTTTCCACTCCCTCTTTCTTTCCATTGCTCTCTCTCCCCTTCCACGTTTCCACTCTCTTCCTTTATTATTCTCACTTGTCTGTTCAGTTTATGGAATATATGAGTTCTGGTCTTTAGTGTGAGTGGCTTCTGGTGCTAAATTATACTTGTTAATACAGCAACAATCTGCTGAGCCTTTTGTTTAATGCTTTTGTATCATTTTTAATAGGATTTAAATATGCATATGTTACAGATACATGGGCCGGTGGCGAAGCCAACAGGCAGTGGAAGTACAGCCACCATTTCTTAGACCGCCTCTTACTGAGGCCCAATTAGAAGCCAAAATCCTGGACAACGGCATCCAGAATGACCGACACAGCACCAGGGTGAGTGACTCTAAATCCAACAAAAGCATGCAGTCTTCACAAGGATGTCTGGATATAGAATCTCATATAGAATCCATGCATGATATCATTTACAAATTATTGTTGTATACCGTTTGACTTTATACAGTATTACTCTGTTGTTGTGAATGTTTGATAGAATTTCAGCTTTGAATGAGTTTCATGGGTGCATTGATGGAAATGTAGATGCTGGTGTCTGCTGTAATTTTGCAAACCTCAAGAGAGATGAAATAACACATTGTAAACTCCCCAGTTCTGCTCTTGTTCTCCAGATTTGAAAATCTTCGTTATGTCTGTAAATCTGGAAACACACAAAGTAAACACAAGTTTTGGACATTAGCTAATATGCTGCTTCTCTATAGATGATTCAATCGTGTGAAGGGTTTACTGATGGCAGAAAAGCACGCAGTGTCTGTTAGCAGTTGTGAATGAAGATGTAAACAATTAACGAATGTGTCCTTATTGTGCCAGCTTTGCATATCACACATTGCTTTTGAGAGGTGTGTGTCTGAACATGACAAAGTTGTTTGTCGGGTTTGAAATAGATTTGCAAAACTCGGAACATGTAGCTCTGATATAAAAAAAATGTTTGTTTTTTTTCCTTACTTGTAGGCATATAGAATGACAAACGATCCTGAAATTGTTTGCATACATCAGTGTTTTCACAGCATTGATCGGTTGCCAAAACTTTGAACAGCAGTTAATTAAATAGGACTTTATACCTCAAGAAGTTATCATAGACAGTTTTTTCTTGCCGTAGTCCTCTTTGTCAGGCAGCCTCATCATTTGTTTCAGTGATTGTGTTTTTGATTCAGTTGTGTTATTGGTCTGAAGAAACCCTTATTCTGTATGTCTGCTTACTTTTCTGTTTGTCTTTTACAGTCCAAGAGCAGTCTAGATCAGATGGAGAGCCAGTCAGCTGATGCAGAACCTCCACCTCCTCCAAAGCCGGAGCTTCGTTACCCCGGCCTGCCCCGTGCAGACACAGAGGGTGAGACACACATACAAATACAAAAGTAAACCCAGGTAGTTGCAGGTATAACACCTGATATGTTCACATCGATTGCTGACCATAAAGTTCAACCCAGGTACATCAAGTGTGTTCACATGTTGTTTTTGGTGTCTTGGCACTCAGAGAGCAGCTTGTTGACTGAAGCGCCACCTACGCCATCAATGTACAAATACCGACCACCCTACAGCAGCCCAGGAAGGAACCACACGGCCCTCACACATCCGAACAAGGTACGTGCCAACTTACCCTTTTCCTCACCTCAAGGTACTGGATGTAGACTGTTAACGTAACATTAACATCAACGTACATATTGTATATTAAAGTAACAATCAGCTGGGAGTGAAGTTAATCGCATGTATTTGCCTGATTTGATTTGATAGCAGGCTTATTTTAGAAATACAGACAGATGTGGGTAACCGTACTGCACGAAAAGAAGCAAGGAGAGCTGAATAAACAACATCCTTTTACTGTAGCAGTTGGACTGGTGGCTCTTATGCCCTTCCCCCTTCTAATTTCCGTTGTGGTTAATATATGCCCCTCTTTTTTTGTTTTTACTTTAAATTGATCATTCAGTGGCCATCGGTCGATCAGTAAGTCTCAGTGTGTGTGTGTGTATATCCCTTTGGCTGTCTCTGTGTGTTTGAGTGGAACTATCCTTTTCCCCCCCAAGACTGCATTGACTGGAATGTGTAGTTCATGTACTGTATGTATTTGTACTTCCATTTATGTGTTGACACACAGTCTTTGACATGCAGTGTCAGTGCTTGTTCAAACCAGTCAATGTTTCCAGTCCAGTAGTGTGATGATGGAGTAGAGCACTGGTCAAGCATCCAACTCTCCCTTCCACTCTTTTTTTTCTGTTAGAATCTGTACAAAAACTGTTTTCTGTGCTGTTTTCACTTCCTCGTGTAAGATGGTAATTTTCATCTTTCTTCCTCCCCCTCTTCACTCCTGCTTTCATCTTCATCACACTCCTCCTCACCCTCCCCTCCTCCTCCTTCTCTGTCTTTGGTCTGTTTCTCTTCTTCTTTCCTCTCCTCAGATGATCCGTGGTGAGAGCCTTGACTCTCCATCTCCCTCCATATTGCAGTCCAGCCGCCAGCCCAGCTACCGCTCGGAGCCGAGCAGCCTGGACGGGGCCACAGTGGTGGGGGGAAGTGTAGGGGTGCGCAGAGGGGGAGTGGAGAGGGGTGAGGGCCCCGGAGGCCCTGGCGGGACTGCTGGGGGGGTGTCAGGGGGCATGTCAGGCTACTCCCTGACTGGGCGTTCCTACACCTCCTACCCATCCTCTCTGGTTCTGTCCACTGGCGGCTCACGCTCCTCCAGCCTGCGCTCAGCACACACTGCACACAACCCGCTGACTACGCTTCAATCAGAGGGCACCACAGACACCAGCTACAAAAGCCTGGCCAATCAGACGCCTCGAAACGGCAGCCTGTCCTACGACAGCCTGCTGACGCCATCTGAGAGCCCGGAGTTCGAGTCAGCCGCCCATGAGCTGTCGCCACAGAAGCCTCGCGCTCCCTTTCCCTCGGCGACTATAACAGGCCAGCCTGAGGTGGTGTCTCCCAGTAGCCCGCTGCAGGGCTACACGTCGCCCTTCCTCTCAGCTCAGATCGCCCAGCAGAGGGAGGGGCAGCTGCTCCAGGGCTCTGCCACTTTCTCCTCCCCCCATAGGGCCTACCTGCGTGCTGTCAGCCCCCCTCCCTCCTCCTCTGGGCCTCCTGAGGCTCAGCACCTGCTCCATAACCAGGACTTCTCTTCTTCCCGAGCCCCTCGTAACCCTTCCTCCTCGTCCTCTTCCCCTGGGGCTCGCTCACTAGAGCCCCCTGTCTCCCCGCCACCTCGTGGCCTCTCCCTGGGCAAGTCCCTGTCTTACACCGGGGAGGCAGGTCCTCAGCACAAGCCTCGGCCTGCAGGAGGAGGCACTGTGCTGGGAGGGGGAGGAGTCGGAGGAGGGCAACAGGCTCCACAGTGAGTAGTGATCCGTCGCCAGATACGTCAGCCTGCTACTGTTCCTCCTCCTCCTGCTTTTTCTCCTCCTCTTCCTTCCTGGTTTGTGTCAGCCCTCCTCTTCTTACCTGATCTGTGTGAGTCTTCCTTTTCCTCCTCCACAGTTTACAGTCAGTCTGGTGCGTGTTCAGTGATAAACAGTTGGATGTGCATATGGACATTTTGTTGGTTCGGTTGTTAGAATGTGTGGATTAGTGTTTAAAGCATGTCAGTATGTGTTTAGCTCTATGACAGCATGCCTAATCGCGTGATTTACTTCTGTCCTGTAGCCTTTTGTGTCCTTTTCATTTCCTTTCTCGCTAAGTTTAGTTACCAAATGCCTTATAATATCACAGGTAGAGAAGCATTTGCTGTTTGTGCTTGCCGATTATTTTTGAAGTAGAACCACTCACCTCCACCTCCCTCTCTCCTCTCTCCTCATCCTAATCTTCCCCCACTCCCCCACTTCTGCCCTCCCCATCCGGATGGCTGTCCAATCAGATCCACCTCTCGCCCAGTCTTGGCCAATCACACCACATCCAAACCAGGGGGAGGGGTGAAGAAGGTAACCGGCGTTGGAGGGACCACGTACGAGATATCGGTTTGAGTGACAAACATCCCACATGGTCTATCACAAGAGGGGGAAAAGTCATCGGACAACTTCCACTTGTCTCTTACCTGAGCTGGATATTATTCATGACTGCAGGCTCCGAAAAAATGACTTTTTATCTGCTGCAATGGACTAAAGGAGCAGGCCTGTCTGGTACTCACTTTGTTATCTTTGTAACGCCACTGGCCATTGTTCTCTGCCAGCCTTTCAGATTTGAACAAAGAGTAACTGGGGACACTGGTTCATTTTTTCACTGGATCAATTGTCTCCATTTTGCCACTTTGTGAGCCATAGACTGATGTGTATCATCACGGCTGGGTACAGATATGTCTATAGAACATGCATAGCTTTTCAATGATTTGCTATTTTACTTTGGTACATTAGCACACAGAGTATTGACAACAGTGTCCGACACTTAAGGAAAGGATGGCCTTTATCCGATGGATGTAAAATTTCAAGAGGGAGGATTTAGAACTGTTGACCAATAGACACGTCTGAACGGACCACACAGCCTGTTTTACTGATGAGAATCACAGAGGGAAGGATCCGACCTATAAACACAGTATCATTTTAGTTTTATAAATCTTTTTTTAAAATATTGTTTTATATAAATGTATAAAATCTATCTTACAGATTACTATTGGGTCAAATTGTCAGGTATTGAAGATGACTATTGATGAGGGTGGCAGATGTACTGTATGTAATTATTCATGAAAGCGATTTTAAATCAGTTGCCTGTTTATATTTGATGGCTGCATCAGCCACTCACGAGTTCTTGCTGGAATTTTCATCATGTAAAGAGAATGATGATCCTTCGGTGGACAACTGAAGTGGCAAAGAATGGAGCTTAATTTTCGGAAAGCCACAAAGAAATTTTGATTCTCATGATTGCAGCACAAGCATCTTTGTGGAATGTACGCTTGTAATGTTTATGCTAGAGACATTATGCAAAATCTGTTTGTAGCTTTAAAGTTCATTGTATGTCTTTTGGTGTTTATTTTGTTTCTCCTTTTCTGTAATGTTTTGTCTGTCAGTCAGTCAGTCGAGATGCTAGCAACCTTATACCTTTAACGGATGGCCAGCCAAATAGGGGCAGTGAGGGAAGGGCTTATTTATTTCACCAGACAAAACAACCTTGTAGTTCAGGACACTTTCAAATCAGTCTCAGTTCTTTTTATTTTTCAAGAGAGAAAACAGTAAGCAGGAATATTTTTTACAAAAAAAAAAAGTTTATAAACAGAAATTGTAGATGCGATATGCCACTAAATAGATTAAGGAGGGATTGGTTTGAAATTGGAGACTGTGTTCATTTGTTTTTGCCTTGAGACCATTCATCGTAAAGCAAGCATGTTTTTATCTTTTTCTATTGATTTTTATTTTATACACTTGTCTGAAAAGTAAGGAAGGCAGATGAGATTTTTTTTTTTTTGATTGACTTCCTAATTTTTTTTGTTAAATTTCTGTAAAGGTACAGTTCATGTTTTTTACCTACTGCCATGTTTAGAAAGAATTAATTAGAGGAAGGGAGGTGTGTTTGTAAGCTTGTCTTTCTGGATTGGGCATTAGAGTAAAGTTGTTTTTCTTTTTTAATTTTATTTTACTTCTGTCAAAGCCCATAGCAGTGTTTGAAAGAGAATGTTAAAGGTGTCTGAATGTGGGGGGGGGAGGTACATGCTTGAAGCACACAAGTATCATCGGTTAACCCAAACTGTGTTACGAGTTTTCAACCCGACCAGGCTATGTCTTCGGTGTGCATGTGATTTTTGTTTCTCGTGCTGAATGCTTCACTGGCGTGCATTCTTGTGAGATTACTGTCAAACGCCCACCCAGTTCATGTGTGGGTGGCAACAAGAAAAGAACCATCATTATTGGCACAAGCAGCCGTCGTACAGAGTTTTAAGAGAACCTGTGTTACTTTTCTTCCTGCTCTGGCCAAGGATGGTGGCCACAGAACAATCTGAAACTATTTGAGTAAAGCAAGTATCCTTCTTTGTGAGATAAAATATTGCTATCGTGGGCTGTGATGAATGGAACGAGTTTCACAAATATCTGTAACGAGTACATTGAAAACATTTCCAAAATGGCCTTATAAAGAATTTTTAAAAAGATGTCTTCTCAGAATAAAAGGTCAAACTGTTCAAAAAAACGAATGTCTCATGAATGTTATTTTCAGTTTCATGTCACCGTTTAATTTGGTTTTAAATATGACACAAAAGTAAACAGTAGTTGCAAAATACAGGCAGCAAAAGTTCACACGCGCTGATGAGATGTTGCTGAAAGTGGCAAAAAAAAAAAAAAAAAGGTAGTTGTTCTCAAATAACTTTAGATTTGCAATAAAATGTCCCCAAATTATTACTTGATCTAAATGCATAACTGCATTCTGACTCAGTCGGACCATGTACACATGGTCCGGTATTTATTTGTCACAGTAAGGAAGTGGAGTAAAGGAGTGTAGAGACAATGTCTAGCTGTGGTTGCACCTTGTTTCTTCATTCAAATAATCTTCACTTTCACACTAATGTAAGGCATGGAAATGTAGGAAGAAAGGGACAGACGTCTTGCTGCCTCTCTCTCAGTCATCCTCTTCACTGGTCTTTCTTGCTCTCTGTGGGCTCCGTGTCGTCGGTTTCAGGATAGAGCTCGTCGCTGCCGTCTTCTGGCTGGAAGCCGTTCTGCTCCTCTCCCTTTGAACCACGGGTTTTGTTCAGCTTCTTGGACTTTTGGAAGAGCTCGTTGAGGTTAAACTCTCGGATGATGTTCTCCTAGGGATGAGAAAAAGATTTACAATTAGCATTATTGTTATCATGTGGAAGCAAACGACGCCTACTCGCTGCAGAACAGACGCACCTCATTGAAAGTCCAAGACACAGCTCTCCCTTTATTGTCCACCATTGGACGTCTCATAATTTCCCGTCCTCCTTGAAAAAGCACCAGCGTGGGTAGCTGCTTAGCCAGAGGAGACGTACTAACTCTGTACCTGTTTAGAAATAACGCACAGGTCAGAATATGTCAAAAAACAATGAATTTGTATAAAGCATAAACAACATTGTGGCTTTAAAGCTGCATCATGACAGACAGACCTCTGTGAAACCTCTCCATAGCGGCCAATGTCCACCTTCCCAAACCGGAGTCCGGCACAATTGTATCTGTTGCACACAAGGGAAGATGTATAAGACATTTAGGCCAAAAGTAGTCTAACTCATCAGATGTAGCAGCCTGCCATTGGCTTTTTCCTCCCCTTCTGCTATCTGTCTATTTTTCCCCTATAGCAGAATGATAATGATGTGCAGCCAAACCATTCTGTGCTGCTGAATTATCTGGCTGTGCAAGACTAGGCCAAAAGTTGAAACTGCAAACTTGGCATCCAACTGTCTCACTGACAGACGCCAGTGTCTATAGCTGCCGGCATTAAGGAAATTCTGTTATTTTCACATTTCAGCTTTAAGACATTGTAGGTTCCAATAATCCACCATGAAGAAAAAAATCCTCAGGACCACTTGATAAAGTTAAACTGTTTACTTGAACTCGCTCACAGCAAAAAAACATCTTTTCCAAATTTACCAACATAAGAGAAAAACAGGTCAAAAAGTATGTGGTTCTACTCCGTGGCCTGGCTGCCGACTAAGCTAGTTACACCTGCTATCCACCTGGATCGAAAAGCAACTAAGGGTGCACTGGGAAGCAATGATCACAGCCACATATTCCCACATACTACAAAGTTGTATTGTAAATGTAAAATGAATAACAATAACTTTTAAACATTTTGAATTATCCCCACACTTGATAAGTGCAAGAAACAAAATGACTCACTCACTGTCACCATAAATATGAAATATATACATACATTTACCTGGGCATATTGTAAATACTGCTTTTAAGTCCTCTTAAATCAATCTAAATTATTATCATTAAGGTTAAATTATTGCATTCTATTTACTCAACCATCAACTTAAATGCATTTAGGCAGCATCAAAGGCTTGACAGTGAATATGGACCAGCTGTGGACTAGTAGAATACAAATGTCTACAAGTGCCCTCAGTACATTCAAAAGAATCTTTTGTTCTACAATTAAAGTTACTTAGTAATATTGAATATGGTGTACCTTCTCCATGGTTGTTTACTAGTAGAGCTTTTGATTTGAAGGTTTGTAGTCATAACTTTGAAGCAGCTCAGCCAATCATAACTATAAACCTGTTTTTATAGTAAACAGAATTGATTGCAGTTGAGAAGCCAAGACTGAAACAGAGGGAACCTCCCTGTCTTGATTGCATGTTGTTTACAAAACAGAGAAAGCAAGTTGGAATCTGCATCTTCACGCGTGAGCACTGCAGAGAGTAAGAGTGATGTGATTTCTTACGTGAGAGAAAGGTTGGCAAAGACAGGAGCGAAAGACTGGCAGTCAGACGACCAGTTGGCATAGAATTCGACGATCCAGGTGACACGACTGTCCTTCTGCAGCTCCTCCTGATGACTCAGTGACATGAAATTTGATTAGAACAGACTGCACAGGTGTAGCTCTCGGCCCTTCACGACTACTCACCTCCCAAACCGAAATGCGAACCAAACAATAAAAACAACTATGTTTGTTGCAACTGCTAAAAAAAAAGAAAAAAAAAAAAGACAATATTCTAAGAAGTTCCCATCTTTATGTTCTTAGAAAACTGCATGTGAATAAATCATCCCCATATAAACTTCAAAGTAAAGTAACAGTCCCAACAGATGGAACTACAAGTAATTCCCACCGGTTGTGTTTATTTTACATATCAGAGGCCTGAGGTACTACTGAACATCACAGAGGACTCACATCTATGGTCTTGTCACTGAAGTACTTGATGTACTCTGGGCCCATGTAGAGAGGTGGCTTACAGGTCATCACAAAAGCTGGGGACAAAAGATGGATAAATAGACTTATAAGTTCACAAATCAGAAAAAATATGTATTTTTGAATGAGTGCATAAAGTTGTTTACACCATGTAACCTAACACATTTTTAGATTAATAATTTGCACATTCCCACACACTATATCTTTATTACTTTAAAAAAAATCTCTTCTAACACTTACTGCAACACTTGCTTTTCTAATCTTTTTATCACTCTTTAAAAAAAATGTTAACTGTTGTGCACCAAAACATCAGTCAAATTCCTCCTTTTTGAAAACCTACTTGGCAATTAAACTGATTCTGATTCTGAAACACTGTCACAAGGGCACCATCTACAGGCCACTTGATAAAAACACACAAACTGCTGACTGTTACTTCAACAGACTTGGAGCAATTTGTAATTAGAGAGAGTGCAAAACATGCTGACATTAAAAAATGGCATCAAAGAAAGGATCAAAAGGGAAAAAATGGCCAAAAGAAGGAGATGTGATGAGAATCAAGGACTACCAAAGTCTAGAGGCTTTTCAGAGGAAAGTTCTTAAATGACATGAGGCTTTTTATTTGAAAAAAAATAAACAAAACAAAAAAAACCCACTGTTGGCTGTTAAGTTTCATTAATAAAAAATGGGTTGTGCTGACCTGCTACCTGACACTTTCAGCCGACTTAATAATCTGAATGGCGGACTTTAGGGAAAAAACACATGCTTTTTGCTTTTCATTCTCTCTGATAAGAGTTCACTTATCTGGACAATAATAACTTTTATTCTTTCCCATGATGACTTTCAGACGTGGAACAATGTGTCCAAAGCTGCCCTGCGTGCTGTCGTTGGGATTCATATCAGTGGAACGCATATGCAGTTGTGTAATATTGAGTAAAGCAGGCAATGTCTGTTACATGACAGTACATCATTAATCCTTTTGCAGTGACAACAGTGACTGGAATGGCAACTGAACTGAATGAGTGAGCAACTGATGTTGCAAAAGTGTGTATAAGGGTATGAGACATTGGCTGAATATTAGATATCAGTGAATGGTAAACAGTTATGACTGAGTGGTGAGGCATTAAATCTATCCCTGTGAGGCTCAGCTGTGACTGGAACACCTCACTGCCTGCTCAACAGTCCCAGAGCGAGTGAATTAAACATTACACAGTTGTGTTTGATTTGTCCTTTAACTATGAAGTGCCTTGAGAGAAGTAATGTTGTGAATTTCACCTTTGTAAATAGAACTGAATGTATTTTTTTTTTGTATCGTGATAAATGTAATTTAGATTATTTATTTATGTATTTATTTTACTTTAAAAGGCTAACCAGCCACTGGTTTAATCAGTTCTCTGCAAACAAAATTGACAATGAGACCAAACGTGTTCAGGACTCATATTTGCTTACTATGTCAGTTATTCCTGACTGTCAGTTATTCTTTAAACTGAGGAAAATAAGTTTAAATCGCAGCATTCTGAAGTGGAAGTTTTGGGCTGCTTATACCGAACACTTCTGTAGGATACTTCTTAATGGAAGATGTCTTTTTCATACATACAAATGCAGATGTACAAGAGAGAAGACAAGGCTCATAGGACCACTGACCGACACACAAGGCCAGGTAGAGGATGCCGAGTCGAATATCCAGCCTGAAGAAGAGGATGACGTTGGCCACTTTACTGAACAGGAACAGGTTGCCTATGTGCTGCTCCAGTGTGACTGAGAAAGACAGAGAGACGAAAAACAAATGAACGAAGCAGAGGAATACCCTTCACAACATCAACCAAGGTCAGAGGAAGGTGGGGTTACACTGCAACTGTAATGTTTACACAACAAAGCCGAGCGTTTAGTGAAGCACTTCCTGCATGTGTTGGGCTCCTCCACTGCTTCAGGGTCAAGGATTGCAAACAGTTAACCTCAAGTATCTGTTCAGTTAAAGTTTAACAGTTACACGTTATAAAGACACACTCGGAGGAACACACTCACAAAGATGTCTGATGTTTGGGTTAAATATAAGCTTTCATTTGTGTTCTTGTTGATAGACATGAAGTGTAATACACTCACAAAAATGCCTAAAGTTTTGGTTAAAAAA